AACAAGATATAGGAAGAGTGTGAGCTAATGGTAGGAATTTGAAAAGGGTCTTGTATCTTTCCTGAATACTCCTGAAAAGTATTCACAAGCCACTGCTTTGTGTTGCTAAAATAGGCAATCCATATGTGCAGGCTCACAGGAAATGGATGTGAATTTCAAATTCAATGTTTGCATTTCTGATTTATGTTTATTTTCACATTGAGTGAATTTAGTTTTTCTTATAAGGAATCAAAATAGGGCTATGTTGACTAATGGAAAAGTATTATTACATTTTATCAGAAATATGGCTCTTTTCCAGAAGTGAAGAATTCAAAAATTCGCATTGCATGAAGTTGTATTTCTTAAACGATCTAAATTTTATGAATCAGCATCTGTGCATGTTGGTAAATTTGTGCCATTCTTTGATGTTTTTTAAGCAAAAACAGATAGCTGTGTATATAGGGAGAAGAAAAACGTGCAATAATGCCAGATTTGTGTAACTTTTTTTTTTTTTTTTTTTTTTTTTAAAGCGCTAACTGATTGCTGTGTCTATAAAAAGAGCAAGCACAAAAAAAAAAAAAAAAAAAAAAAATTGCTAAAAATTCTTTCAGAGAACACACCCTCCCCAAATCTTAAAATCGTAGTACATAAAAAATGTATAAAAAAAAATTGCGAATATCATCATATCGTACAATTTAAACATACACTTTAAATCTCACCTCTATAAAATAACTAATTTTATTTATTGAATTTAATGGTCTTTATATTTGAATATAATGCTTTTCAGCACATTTTTTTTAAGTATAAAAAAGATTTCTATTTCATCATTTGAAATAAATTATAGTGTTGTAATTATATATTTTAAAATTGTTGTTAATGCCTCTGATGTTTGTGTATTGTTTTAAATTGTGTAGGTTACTTATCAAAAAAGAAATGTATAATTAACTATAATGAAGATTTTTTTAACAATATTTGGTATTTTTCTGTTATGCATCTGCTATGTAGTTTGGCCAGTTTTTTTTAACTGTAGGTACAATTAAAATGCACACGTATACATAAATGGTTTGGTGCCTTCATAGTGTTATTTGGCTTCTTTTTTATAGGTGCCAAATGTATGGCACATGCGTAACGGAAAAATAGCCAATATTTAGTTACTTACCTTTCGAAAGGCAATTGGATGCAGATTAAATTATTAGAAATATTTCATACATTTACAATGTTTCTTATTGATTAATATTTTTATGTATTTATTATCTAGCTCTAACTTTTAAGTGAAAAGCCATGAAGGTGAAGGAAGTCGACCGAACAGCCAACATAGCATGGTCACCTGCTGCCCACCATCCTATTTATTTAGCAGCTGGTACTGCTGCACAGCAACTAGATGCAACATTTAGGTAAATGGCTTTAACATATTTAATAATTTGATACTTGTTGGTTATCCAATACTCATCAGTACACCACAAAAGTCTGTTGCTGCCGTTTTGATAAAATCTGCTAATTCGAATGTATGTTGTTTGGCAGTAGCATTCAGAATTATATCAGACTAATTCTTTGCAGATTTTCTCTACCTCTCTGTGTACTTTGATAAATAAGAAGATATGTGTTATGTGCTATATCACATTGCCACTTTTAATGTATTTTACTGATCCTCACAAGTGTTCCATTCTATGTGTATGGATGCTCCTATTGGGATCAGAATTGACATTATGAAAATCCTTTCCCACTTCCTTTTATTCTCCTTTAAGAGAAATAAAACTCTCATCTTTGGAGAAGTATCTATAACACCTTCTAGATGTTTTGGATGCTTACAAAAATCACCATCATAACTTAATATCCATTGTTTTATTAAATGTCTCGGTTAATCTTTGAATTATGGTAACTTGGCGGTTTTTTGGCAAAAATTTGGCGACCAACTCTGCTACAGCAACTTGCTAATTTTGTTTTGGACGCCATTTTGTTTTCACGAAGTAAAGGCATGTCTTTTTTTTACTCAACATTTTTTCCAATAATCTGCTAGTCGAATGATGCTAGACTAGAATTATTAACAAAATGCTTAATCATGACCGATGGTGCGAATTGGGAGAAAGTGCAGAATCACCCACGATTGCCGTTTTAAGACTGCACATACACGGCATCACTGTACTGTCACCTATTGTGACTAAAAACAAACCCAGAATTGCACAAAAATGGCATGGCAACCTTGCTTTATACAGTACACTGCTAAAGTCCTAGCTAGTCACCTTTATCACCTTACCAAAATGTCGCCAAACTACCTGTTACCATATTCCAAAGATTAGCCAACATCTCTTTCAATGTAAGTTGTTTACCTTGCTTCGTTTTTTGTGCTAATACTTTCTTTTTAATACTGTAGACAGGTATAATTTATTTGCGAATTACAATGTTCTGTTTCTGAAGTCCTTTATTTGCTGTATCAAGAATTCCCACTAAATTATCAGTTGAATTTTTTCATTTTCAAGTAGCTCTATATCACATCTTTCTCCTTTGGTAGCAATATTTTCTGGATTTAGAACTGTATTACAGATTTCACTGTCTGTTAGTTGACTGACGATTAGAGCATTGTCAAGGCAATGAAAATCTTTTGTTATATATCTTCATTCATTACCACTTTCCTACAAATTCCATTAATTGGAGAATTTTGCTTTTTATTTGTGATATCTGAAAACCTTCTAATTCGTGATTATCATTATAAAGCTTAGTTGTCCTCCGCTATGCATTATTGATGATGTTTCGTAAGAAGATAGGTGACTAAAGACTTATTGTTTCATTAAATTATTGTCTTGCTTCTATTGCACACTGTGAAGTTAAGCCTGCCTTATGTTAGTACAGTCATTTATTATACTTGTGCCTATTTTCCACACATGCTTGAGGCTTATGAGACTTCAATAAATAAATTCCCATATATACTAAACGCTTATCCAAGGCAAGTGTTAGTTATTTTGTGGCATGGTACAGTCTCTGCATGTCCTAAACTCTAAAAAGCACATCCCTAAATTCTAAAAATATTGCTAACCCTAAATTTTCCATTCCAGTGCCACCCCTCCAGAATTCTAAAGATTTTGCAATCCTTTAATTTTACTGCTTGGGCGATCACTTTATTTTATTATGATCTCATAATTTTATTGCTTCTAAATTCTAAAATTTTGCCTTCCTTAAATTATGATACCTGTTGTAGGTTCTGGGCTTATTTGAATAACAAATCAGTTATTCTCAATTCAAACAGGACAGAATGTAATCTTTGGCTTAGTATCACAAAATCTATTTTTTCATATGAAAAGAAATTTTGTTAAATTTCTCATCGTCAAACCCTCAGTACTTTGTACCGCAGTTATCCAAAGTGTAGAATCATTGCCAAGCATAATGTCAACGTAAAAGTTTTTCATGCTCTTTGCTATTCAATTACTAATCTTTATTTTTAAAAAAAGAAATTGTTTAGACATTGCTGCAGGAGTCGTTTCTCAAGCTGCCATGTGCTGATAGTCATGCTACGCAGTGATGAAAGTAAAAAGTAATAATGATTTGCCAGGTTAGCATCAGAGATATAAATTATTCTTTAAGTGTAAAAGTAATGAAATTTCGATGTAGAATTCTTTGATTTGAGATGTATGCCAAGTGAAAAGGTTGCTTATGATGCCAAATTATTGATCATATAGATTTATGCTGTTAAATGATAGTTTTTCCAATATGGAGGTATTTTATTTAGTGCCAAAGTGAAATCAAGACTTGGAACTCTCCAGAAGATACATCTGGATTTCAGATTTCGTATTGTGTAAATATTTGTTCCATCTTTAATTACAGTAAAACTTCAAGAAGTCAAATTAAATGTTGAAATAAATATGAAAATTAATATTAATCATCCCTAATAAGTTGAAATTCTCTTCACCAATCTTCTGATCAGTTTTGACATTTTGAATTTTAGCTGTATTATCTTATTTTGTAATCTCAACATATAATAAAAGAAAGAGTCTCTGTGTTCATTTGTGATGCGCATAATAGACCCAGGGCTACGAAATTTGGTATATAGGTACGTCTAGACAAGAGCCAATGCACCTCAAAGCGATTTTTTTTTTTCAAAATTCGAATCGCTTTTTTTATTGCATCTTTTTGATTTTATCGCATCATTTTGAATAGTTTTATTCTTTTAGAAACTATTCAAACTTCTATACATTTTGCATTTTCCTTTATTATTTTCCATTTCTCATTCTTTTGCATGCTTCTTCTGCTTTATGTTCTTATAATAATTCTTCTGTTCTCCTGGATTTTCTTGTTAATATTTTTTATGAGCATTAAGCCATTAATTTTTCTGTCAGCCATTAGTTTTGAAACAATTCAAGGTTAGCTGAATTAATAATGTTTTTCTATTCTGATAAAAACAAAAATGGATTCCTGCCCCTAACATTTATTTGACAATCTGAATATGCTTTTTGACCATACTATTTGGTTTTAGATGGTTTACACTCTAAGTTTTAAAATTCCATTCTTCACTGATTCTGTAAATTTCTTGCAGTTATGTAGTAGATCAATCTGAATACAGTAATGCCATTTTTTTTTTGTAAAGAAAGATTTCTGCTATATTTGTTATTTCCTCAAAAGCTCTGGGTCTTTGCTGAAAAACCTTTTAAACATCAAATAATCTCTGCCTTGGAAATAAAATACACATATTCTTATTTCATGATTCCATTTGTGTTTTCTTATTTTCATTTCTATGTTAGAAGCTTTTAAAAAATATATAATTCTAATTTCTTTCAACATTTCTGCCCAATACAATATTCCCCGACTTATTTTATATTTGTGTACTGCTTAGTAGTTATTATAAGTTGTGTTTAACTGATGTCTTGAATTTTGAAGACTTGACTTAAATATCTGTCTATTTACTTTTAATAATTCTTCTCTAAAATTAAAATACTGCTAAATGTAATGTTTATTTATTTTCAGTACAATATATCAATAAAAGATCTTGATGGATTAACTGAAGAGGTCCTACTTAGCTATGTTTCAAACTGATATATTTATAGTGTTATAAAAACTTCTTTGTGGCTAGCTGTGTGGGATATTTTATTAATAGTTTAAAAACGCCTTCTGAAAATTCCATCACTGAATTTGACAATATATCAAAAATTTACAAAGTACACCTTAAAAAAGTTAACATCATGCTGTAAAACTTCTGGGTCTATTAAAACGTACTTTAATCTTCTAAAAGCTGCTCATCTCATTTTCAAGCAACATCTCATTTTCAAGTCTCTTCCTACGGATTTCATTGCATGTTGTTGCATCTCATTTTCAAGTCTCTTTTCCTGCAAATTTTTAAAACTTGTCATTTCTTTAGCATCAGGAATGAAAACAGGAATAAATTTCTAAAAATTTTTCTAATTTTATATTTGCAAATCTCTTAAACATGCTATTTCAGTGACAATGTAAACATGCTATTTTATTATGAATTCAGAAACATTTTTAATAATTCCTAAACATTTTCTAATTTATATATTTATTGCTACTTTATAAAAAGAATTGGGATTTATGTATTATTCTGTGGACTGCGAAATTGTCACCAAGCAGCGTGATTTAGTAGTAGTTGTGGATAAGCGGGATATAAGAAAACACTCATAATATCTTCTGTTTTGCTTGATGTTTGAAACACTCACCAGAATCAATCATTTCGTTTTATGAACAAGGATATGAATTAACTGTTGTTGCTATATTTTTCCCTCCATTTTGGGGGGGAAAGCATTAAGATTTGGGACCTGTCTTCCACAGAACCACAATTAGTGGATTAAAGTTGTGGAATCCTACAATTAAAAGAAATGTGTTTTAATGGCCAAGAAGACCCTGCCATTTTCATTTAAAATTAGTTCACTTAAAAGATTATCTTTCTCATTATTTAAATTTTTTAGTGCTATTGTTAATATCTGTAAGTTTTTTTAGGGGGGGGTTGAATTACTGTAATGAAAGTTTTAGTTATAAGCAAAATATGAAATTGTGCTACATCAAAAAGAATAATTTTATGGGACTGCTATCTTACATTTTACCTCCCCTCTTGACATCTGGGGCTGTTCTAGTTAATGGTGGATGTGGTGCTGTACTGATTAACCAGCATGGTAGAGGCACAGTGCCCATGTCCCCCGTCACTTGTACTTGTCTTACATTATATATTGATTCACAGTTTTTTATTAATTTCATCTAGTTCAGTGTGAACATATTAATTTTCCTTGACAGTTTTGTTTTCAGTATTGATTTAAAATGTATCTTCAAAAATTATTTTGAAGTTTATTGTTATTGTTGTTTAAATTATCAAATTTTCTTATTTATTTATTTACTTTTTATCATGTTCTTTCTAGCACTACAGCAGCGTTAGAAATTTATGCCCTAAATTTAACAGAACCAGGTTTGGATATGTGTATGAAAGGCAGTGTCGTTTCAGATTTCAGGTATTCTTTTTAGCTTTATTATACTAATTACATAATTTTAATTAAAAAAATAATGTTAAACTGTTGTTGTTCCATCATACCAAGAAGTTTTAAATGAAAACCTTTTTTTAAAAATGTCTTTCTATGCAACATATAAAATTTTTTAATCATGCATTAAGCTCATGAGTGAAATTCACATTTTCAGATCAGGGGTAAAATAACTTTTTTAATGCATAAACTGTAAGTATTCTGTTTTAATTCTTGCTTAGAAAAATCACACGTAATAACTGTTTTCTTTATTTTCTCCTACTGTAATTAGAAATGTAAATTTTAAAAAGGAATATAAATAATAATTTTAAGAACTCTTTATTTGGCTCTCAGAAATTATTAGTCAATCACAAGCATGAAGGCAATTTTTTTTTAATCTTGACATAGGTAGCCATAGTTGGGAAATATTTAGAATACACGTGGAATTCTATGAAATGGCAGAGTAAAAGTCTGCAGGGTATGATTAACTTTTGATAGAGGATAAAAACTCTTTTGAAGCTGTATTGCGGTTAATAACTATCAGAAATTTAAAAAATAAATAAGTTAAACTGCTATCATAGATTAGCTTCATAGCAATAACGAAGGAAATACAAGCTGTCAACAAAGTCATCTCAACAGCAACAGAACTACTTAGCAGTCAAACCACTATTAAAGTTACTGTGGATTTGATGTGATTAACTGCTAAGAAATGCTTATTGTAATAAAGTTTTTTGTGTATTTAGTGGTCCAATTTTAGAGAGGATAAAAAATGAAGGGAGTATTTTAAACATTAGAAAATTATAAACAATACTATGCAAAGTAAATAAAATGCAGTTGCTCTGCAAATTCTATACTTGTGAGAGACACAATTTCAGTTTATGAAGAAATTTTAATGATATTAATTCTATAATGTTTTGTTTGTGGTAATTTTAATCTCACCTTGGTTTCTGAAATGATTGCTTGTAGTTTTTACAAATGTCCAGTCTGTTTTTTTAAAATATCAGGCTGTACTATTGACAAATTGAAGGACTTATTATGATTGCTTATTGACATTTGTTATGTGCATTATTTTGACGTCAGATTATTTTAAAAACTTCTTTTAGGCTGTGTGTTATGTTAATAACACATTTGTACTTTCTGACAGTAATAAAGAAGATTTACTAAGATATTATTTGCTATTAATTCGATTGATCCAGTCATCCAGTTCACACTTTTGAATCTGATAATTTTCCTTCATTTCCTTGATATTTTTATCATTTGCAATGAATTTGATTTCAACACCACAGTTATTCCATAAATCTTTTTATGGAACTACTCTGATATGTGCCCTCAGGTTGCCAAATTTCTCATAAAAAATTCCACAGTGCCATATTACTATCTAAATTTTTTGTCTACATTTCAAACTTTAAGTCTAAAATGTCTCCAAAAACGTGGTTTTCGCACATGCAAAAACCATGTTTTCCACACGATTTAGCTTAAAATCTGAAAAAAACAAAAATTGATACAAAAACGTAAAGTTTCTAACCAAAAATATTTGACCAAATCCAGTCACAGCGATATGTTAACTTAAACTTAAAAAAAAAAAAAAAAAAAAACTACGAATGCACAATATAGGCATGAAGGAATCTCGAACTACGCACACTCGCCTTTACTAAATTACCAAACAATAATTTCGAAGATACCAGGTACACAGCATTCTGTTTAAACTTAAAAATCTACAAATTGCACAATCAGGCATTGTGCACAAATCAACAAAATAAACTAAGATAATAAAATAAATTACAACAATTCAAAAAACAACAATACCAACAGAAATTCATAGTAAAAAAACAATGAACATAACATTCTACAAAATAAAATGCACTTACAGTAAATGGATGTTTCTTCGGACAGCAGAAGTAGCTTTACCATGCCACCACGTACTCTCTATGGTATTTATATGACAGCCAGACTCGCTATCCACAAAATTCATACTATGGTTCACAAATAAATGTTCAAAACCTTCTTTTTCTAAATCCTTGTAAGATTTCCAGCCATCCGAAAAAATAGTTGTACAAGGCTCTATCCAATCTTTAATACACTGCATCACTGTTTCCTTACTTCTACCATGCACAGCCACTAAAAATAATCTCTCAGACCCTCTTGTAACCATGTCTCTTATTGCAACATAGGCCAATTTCAAAACACGCACGACACAAACCATCGAGCAATTAAACCACTCCAGCAAGAGAGTTTTCAGTGTCAAAAGAGTTGCCATACAACACGCAATCGTGCCAAAAACCAGCCCAGAACACAAATCGCCACATTTGGTGATCTTAGGGTGCATATAAGAGTAGAGCCCTTTTTATTTCTATTATGCTATTTATTTCTCTTTATTTTTATTTATCCTTTTCTTTCTTTTAACACCACACAATTCATCCTTTTTCTGTTTCTTTGCTTTCCAGTGTTAAATCAGTGTCAGCCTATTAAGCAAGAAATGGCTTCTTTTTACTTTTATGCATATCACACTTTTAAAGTTTGTTCTTCAGAATCTTTATTTTCTAATGAACTCAATTGTTTGTAGTTGGTTATCATTAACAAAAGATTTAGTCCCATGATTATTGATAAAGCTTTAAAAAAAATTTTGTCTTGCCATCCAAGATACTCTGCTGTTGGAAATAATATTACCTTTGTTGTCATTCCATTTAATCCTTTTATCAGTTATGAAATTGCATGGATTCTCAGAAGTTCAACTTTCTGATAATTTTCTCACATATTAATGAAACCCATTATTCAATTCTTAGATCCATCTCTCATTTGAATCTTAGGGAAGTTTATATCATATCTTGTCAGTGTGGTTTTTTTATATATCAGCCAAACTAAAAGAATGTTAAAATTTCATGTTAAGGAACACAGATCGTATGTCTGAAAGGCAAAATAAATCCTCCGTGTCCATCTTAGGTAGCTAGTCATAGTTGAAAACTTAATTTTGATTTTGGTTCTGCAAAAATTATCCATAAAGTTTTTGAGTTGTTTAGTTGGATTTCCTTGTAACTTTCCATGTTCACAGAAATTTATCTTCTCTGATTTATTACATTATTTGTAATCCATTCCTTTAATAACACTTTAGAATGTTAGGTGGTCTTAGTTTTCCTTCTCTTGTTGCTTGGATATAAATATTGTTCTTGCTTTTCCTGGTTTGCAGAATGCTTGTGGTCCTGTTGAAGACCCTGTGGTCTGGTTGTCTTGAAAGTCAATTGTTTTAATCAAAATCTATGACAGACTAAACTTGCTTTTTTTTTTTTTTTTGGTTGCTTAATATTAAATTTTTAATATTTTACATTCTCTCCCTTCTATTTGATATAAGGGTGTTATTAGAGGCAAGTTACTGGCTGGAAAAAACATAGATCTTGGTTCATTTCTAAGAACTGGTTTTGTATATATGTTACTGGCAATGTATTAAACGTAAGCATTTTGAAGAATGCCTGGCATTTTTAGGCAAAGTATGAAACATGAGAATTATTATATACTTTACCTGGGCATTGTATATAATACTTAGGCATTTTATAAAATGAAAAATGTGCTTTAGGAAAAGTATGACAAAAAAGGTCATGATAAGATATTATTTAAAAGACATTCATTCCTGAAAAATATTCTATTTTGAAAAAAATAATGAAAGACTGCCATTAAAAAACTTTTATTCTAAATATGTAAAAACAAACAAAAAAATAGTTAGATGATCTTAGTACACCATAATAAATTTGTTTTCTTTATCTGACTGGAAATAAAAAAGATCTACCTGACAACAGGAATTAAATTCGGAAAAAATCATAGGTTTCATAAAAATAATGTCCTTTTTAATACCTTTTGTTTTTTTCTGGTAGAGCTCACAAAGGTGGATGTTCAGTTCAATATAATTTCATATAACATTTTTGTATTTGGTTGAAAGTTCTTACAATGTTCTTTCACGTCCTGTGTGTCCAAATGAGTTTCGTGCAGTATTTGGAATAACTCAGTGTCCATGACATAATACTGTATAGTACTGATGCCTTCTTTAACAGCATAAATAAGTTACTGTTATTTTCCATAAACATCACATCTTAGCAGTTCAGTTACCAATAGTCTCATGGTTTCTTTTTAGCAGTTATTTTGGCTTTTTGCATCATTTATTAATGTCTGGTAAGTAGTTTTGGTTATTTGAAAAAAATCTCAGCTATGCAGAGTCATAGCTAGGGTTTTCAGCACCCAGGGACAACTGAAGATTTCTTGCACCCTACTGGTTGCCAAGAATGGAAAACATTTAATTCTAAAATGACATAACATCAGTTTGGCACCCCTTGGATTCTGCGCCCGGGGACAAATGCCCCCCTCTAGCTACGTCCCTGCAGCTATACATTCAAAGGTCGTTAATCCGGAATGATTTATAATCCGTACCTCAAAGCTACAAACTTTCTGGGCATGCATCAACTCATAATGCGTTGACACATGTGCGTAATACCTTTACGCATTTGCATATGCATGTACGCATGCGCATTTAATGTATAACGAACAGTATAAGCTACGTTAGAATTATCGAAGGCGTTTCGGTTAATGTTGCAGATTGTGCTGTTGCTTGCTCATCTAATTGGATCCGGCGGCTTATTATTTTTTGCAGACGGTTAGAGCAAGTTTTGTAAAAAGTAAGCTTGAAGTTTCCGATTATGTCAAAAAGAGTTTCTAATTCTGGAGCTGCTAAAGGATCTACAAAGTGAAGCATGTTTCGATCCATCAACAAAAAGTGGAATGCTGCAAAAAATGGACAAAGGCAATCCTTTGGTGACCATTCCGAAATCTATTTATCAGTTTCACTGCCTGGGGGGGGGAATCGCGGCACGTTTATTAATTGGAGTTGATCTGTCAGCACTATCCTATCTTCAGGGCAGATGTTTTTATTTATTGGCTTATAATCCTTACTAAATGTAGTATTTTCATCTCGATGTACTCGTCTTTGATATGATTTAAAACAAATTCCTCGTCATTATAAATATCACGAATACAAATCAATAGTTTTCTGGTTGCAATTTTCTAATTTGGACTATGCGCAATGTATGCTTTACGCATGCGCATGTTGAAAGAAATGTTTAATAAAGTAAACAAATAAAATTAAGCTTTTTTTTTTTTTTGTAAATTTTGATACCTTTAGATCATAATTGTCTTATTTCATAAATTACGGTTTCATATTTTTAATTTTATAATTTCTGCATGCCATCTTACCAGATTTAAACTGATGATCTATAATCTGGAAAAATCGATAATCCGGAATCGCCGAAGTCCCGACGAGTCCGGATTAAAGACTTTTGACTGTACTTCATGCTTTGCTGGTTTGTCACTTTGCATTCTATAAAATACCTAGGCAATGTGTGAAATGTTTAATCTTTTCATGCATTGCTGGCCAGTTTTTGACATTCTATAAATTGTCAATTTCATACTTTGCTGGTAACATATATATGTATGTATCACAGACATATATTCGTTAAGAAACTATTCTTAATTTTTTGAAGAATGTTACATTATGCACTACTATTATGTATTTCCTTCCATTTGTCACTTCAACAAACATTGCATAGTAACTAAAGCAATAATAATTGATAAGCTTGATTCCCTGCTGTTCTGTGTTTTAATCTTAATAATCTGAATTTACTGCATTGCTGCACACTAGTGACCTGTTTGTTGATATTAGTACTTTTAAGTCACCATGGCCCACTATTTTGGCAGACTTTGGTGCCTTTTGGTTTAATTATATAAGTATCTATCAAATGTTACTTTTCAGCCTGTATTAAAGACCTATGAGTTGATGCTGAATATCTTTCAATAAGTAGATCATAGCCTATGGCCATGATTGACTCTTATGCTTAAATTTAATTTTAATTCTAAACCCTGTCTTTACTGCACCACTGCACACTTGTGATCTGTGTGTTCAATCATAAGTCCCCTCCCCCCCCCCTGGAGTGTCGACGTAGAGACCTCTGCGAAGCTATTTGCTAGGATCTATACCTAAGCAATCTCAGCCACGGGGGTAGACAAATTACAAACCTAGTGGTTCTGGGGGCTCTGGAAAAATCCTTATTAGTCACCCCTTAGGTCTGGCATGTCCTAGAGCTTAAGGTTGTAATAGCCTGGAGGTAGCGTCCTGCATACGCTAAGTAGCATCCTTGAGGGACAGGTAGGTAGCAAATTGACGACTAGCATTGTCGTATGGTGGCTGCCATCAGACCTCTCAAGGTGCAAGGACAGGAGTTGAACCCCTGGGCCTGGTTCTGAGGTTGGATTGGTCCGATGGTGAAGACACCTGGCTGGTTGTGGTATGTGTAATCCACATAAAACTAGTTGTTGGATTATAATTAACCATCAATAAATAGGTGATTAGCAAGCAACAAAACTTAATATTCTTTAAATATCAGTATAATTTTACTGCACTCCCCACACCACTGACATGGTGTGACCATAAGAGATCATTAAGCTCTAGGCCACTGATGACCAACAGTCTTAATGAATCTCAGTGTCCTCTATAATTTAAATAGTAAGTCTCATATATTGCACCATAGAGTTTCTTGATAGTTTCTAGATAGTAATTATGTAAATTTTTTGTCTACATTTCGAACTTTAAGCCTAAAATGTCTACAAAAACTGGGTTTTCGCAGATGCAAAATGAACATTTTGAACACACAATTTAAGCTAAAAATTCTGAAACAAAAACAAAAAATTTCGATAACAAAAACCTAAAGTTTCTAACCAAAAATATTTGACAAGAAATCCATGTACACAGCGATATGTTTTAACTTGATGATATGTACACAGCGATATGTTTTAATTCTACGAATTGCACAATCTAGGCAGTGAAAGAATCTATGAATTATGCACACCTTGCTTTAATAAGTTAACATAACAATAAATTTCAAAGAATACCAGGTACACAGCATTCTGTTTCAACTTTAAAAAACATCTATGAATTGCACAATGTAGGCACTACGCAGTAATCAACAAAATAAACTAAAATAAATTTCAAACAATTCAAAAATATGACAATAACGACAGAAATTCATACTAAAAAATGAACATAACATTCTACAAAATAAGAACAAGAACAAGAATGAAATAAAGTGCACTTACCATGAATGAATGCTTTTTCGAACAGCAGAAATACCAATTTCATGCCGCCTTTAACATGCCGCGATGTAATCACTATCGCATTTATATGACAGCCAGACACACTATCCAGAAAATTCATACTATAGTTCACAAATAAATGTTCAAAGCCTTCTTTTCCTAAATCCTTGTAAGATTTCCAGCCATCCGAAAAAATAAATTGTACAAGGCTCAATCCACTCTTTAATACACTGCATCAGTGTTTCCTTACTTCTATCATGCACAGTCATTAAAAATAATCTCGCAGACCCTCTTGCAACCACATCTCTCATTGCAACATAAGCCATTTCAAAACACACACGAGCAATTAAAACACTCCATCAAAAGAGTATTCAATGTGAAAAGGGTTACCATATAACACACAATTGTGCCAAAAACCAGTGCAGAACACAAATCGCCACATTTGGTGATCTTAGGGCGCATATTTTATATCTGGGGTTACATTTTTTCCCCCATTTTGTTAGTTTTTGCCATTTACGTACAACATCCTAGGAAGAGCCAGTTATGAATGCATTAAATTAGTATTATAAATTCACCTTTAAAATGTTATTGGGCTTATATTTATTAAAAGTATTTTATAAATAAAATTCAGTAATAGCATTTTTGCTATTTCATCATGACCAGTCACATGAAAAGCTTGAAAAAATGATTGATAAAACGTTCTTGAAAACATTTCATTCATTCTTTGTTTTAGTGTTATATATTATATTTTGTACATTTTGACTGACAATATTTAAGCTGTTTTCCCACAGTAAATTGCTTAAATGTCTGTTTCCTAAATAATCAAGAATTGTACTTTTTTTTTTTTTTTTTTTCTGATAGATTCCATAAAATTGTATGGGGTTGTGAAGGCATGAAGACATCTGAAATGAGCAGTGGTGTTATCGTAGGTGGTGCAGATGGTGGTAATATTATGATTTACGATGCAGCCAAACTTATTCAAGGTGAATCTGCTCTTCTTCATCACAATACCAAACACATGGGTCCTGTTCATTCACTCGATTTTAATAAATTCCAGGTTTGTTATAGTTTAATTATATTCATTCATACATTTGAAAAAAAATGTGTAAAAATTTAATTTCAAGAGTTCGTTTCCCCTTATGATCAAAGCAATACAGTACAAAGTCTGAAATTTGGATGTCCAGTATTCGGAATGATCTATTATTTATCTCCAGACCACTGGCCAAAAAATTTTTAAGCAAAGTAATCTCTGCCCTGACTCTGGCACCAACCTTTTTGGGAGGTTTCTGTCAGAAGAATGTTAACTTCCCAAAAGGGTGAGTGCCAAAGCCAGGGGGTTAACATTCTTCTTGACATAAACAATAAGCAAAAATGCTATGTTGCTGTGTTTTATATCATTGTACTAGATTTAAACTAATCTAAAATCCAAAATAGCTGCATTCAAAATTCTTCAGATTTTTGGAAGCTTCAAATTTCAGACTTTGTGCTGTATTTCATTTTTATTGTGTTCATAATTTCATTTTCGTTTCTGTATTTATTGCCTCATTGTCATATTTTCTGTATTAATTCCAATGTTTCTGTGTTTACATGTCATCTCACTAGATTTAAACTCGTAATCTAAAATCCAGATTTCTGGATGTCGGACTTTGTACTGGATTTCATTTTTATTATATTCATGATCAAATTCATAGAATATATAAGAATAGCTAAATATTTTTCATTTCAGAACTATTGTTGGTCAGTGTAAATTCTATTTTGTTTGAATATAAATCTAAAATTTCAAAGTTTTCAGAATAAAATCTCATTTCCACTTGCAGTATATTTTTATATTTATTGCCTCATTGTTATATTTTCTTTATCAAAGTGTTTTTTCATTTTAGGATTGTTTGCTTGCATCTGGTGCCACGGAGTCTGAGATTTTTATATGGGACTTGAACAATCCCTCCTCGCCTGTAACTCTTGGTGCCAAGTCTCAGGTATTAAATATTTCTGTGCTGTTATTATAATTCAAGGCATGAGTCAATATTCTCGGTTTTGTGGTAAAATTTCATTATGATATTTATTTATTTATACAAATGCCAGACGTTTGGCCACTAAGGCATTAGTCTTGATCTTGCCTCTCCCTTTAGGCAGATAGCCCTCGAGGCTTTGCTGTAATTAAATAACCTAACCTAACCTAACCTTGATCTTGCCTCCCACTACCAAGAAGAATAGAATTAAAAAATAATAGTGCAGTGTATTCATCAATATGCTTCTTATCCGTTGACTGACCAGAGTTGCAAAGAGTACAGACTAAGTGTCCTTCAGTTGAATTTTAAAAAGATGGGTATTCAGATAGCCGTGCTCTGTCAAAAGACGAAATAACGCCATGGCTACAGAACGAGGAAAATCTGGAATAACTGGCTTTGAACGGGTGAGACACTCCCAGGCTTTTCTTTCATTTAATAGGTAGGAGGCAAACCTCATCTTAAATTCTAATTTAATGAGTTTTGCAGAATTAAGTCATATCATTATCAGGGGTTTGTAGAATACTCATTCCTTTCTTTGCCAGGAAATCGACTATTTCATTCCCCTCAATGCCACATTATATTGTATTGTAATAAAATTGTTTTATCAACATGTCTTTTGGTACTTAGCATTTTCTCTCCGTCAGTGAAAGTTGGCTCTTTTGAATTGGAAAATTTGGTAGAGATCTCACCATACTTGCACCAGTCAGTCTGGCAGAGTTTTGAAGAAAGAATGCCTGTTTGACTAGATAGTCACAGATCACTCTGTATTTATACATAATCAACAGATACAATTTGTGGCACATAATATAGAAAAAGTGTATCACTTTGAGCTCTAGCTTTGAAATTATCTAACAAAATGCATATATATGAAAACTACCAGTCATTCAAATGGCCAGCATTAACTAATAGCATTTAAAACTGCAATAAAATTATCATCTTCGTGAACTCAGTTCTTCATAAATTTGCTTAAATATGAATGTAAGTGATGTCGTATAATTCCTAAGTGTTTTTTTTATCATGACATTTTGCTGGACCAAAAAGTCTTTCATTGTTTTGAGTATATGCAGCAATATCAGGATCTATAAAATTATATTGGTGATTAAATTAAAATGTTCAAATGCTGCAGCTTATGATTCATTAGTTTTGTAGGTCTTTCAAAATTCTGAAACAATTTAGATTGAAAAAAAAAAAAGTGAAGAATCAGGCTGAATATTTGCATGCTGGCTAATCAAGAATTCATAGTATTTATGTGTTATCACAACCAGCTTAGTAGAAGTAGCCACATTTTCAAAATGCACCATGCTCTGGCAAACTGTGTATAACCATTCTTCAGGCAAACCATTCTCATAACAATCCTTCAGTCAAGCCATGTCACCCGTAATCTTTTCTGCATTAAATTAAATGTCCTCGTAGGATTTTCCAACAAGAATTTTCAATCAAATTGCTGCAAGAATACAGAATTTTGCCACAAATTATCTAAAGAAAATGATATGGAGATGCATTTGGTAAACAGCCATTGTTGCCCAGGTTTGCACGATGCAGAGTTTCCGATGTGAAAACAGATCGCAATGTACTTGGGAAAAGTAATAACACACACAGACACACACAAAAAAAAAAAAAAAAAAAAAAATCCAGAAAAACTGAAGATTAATGTAAATTTTATTTTTTATTGTATCACACAATCCTTACTTAGCATTTAAAATATGCATATTTTAAACTGTTAAAGCATAGCTACTTTTCATATGCTGATAATGTTTGCCGACTTATGATAAATATTGATAATTTGGAAATCTTTTTTTTTTTTTTTTTTTTTTTAAAGTAATGAAAGCCACCAGCTTGCACCCAGTATGTAACTTTTACCTTTTAATTTGCAGTAAATCACCAAATTGCGCCAAGCTGATTGCATTAATGCTCAAGTACCAAATTAATCATGGTTATGTAAAACCAAAGCAAAGATTATGCAAGTACATTAATACATGTTTATCTATTATTAGTGCTAAATTATACTGTTTGGCAACAGGTTTTATTTTGTCAGAATGGTCAACATTAAAATACAAGGGAACCCATCCTTTTTACTGTACTTACATGGCATTTAATTTTTTATTCATGTGTGGATTGTCACATGTTCTTAGTTATCTATTTTTCATCTTTGTACTCAAGTTTCTTTGTTTCACCAGAAATGATTGTATCTTTATATTTTTAACATCTGATATTATACTATCATTGTATTTAGTATGGCAAATTACCTATTTGATAGAGGTTGTCAATTCCTACTGAGCATAGCATTTTTCTTTAATCTTTCAAATTACATCAACACAATGCTAATAAAAAACTGATTAAATAAAAAAACTCTACACATACTTCTTCCTAATTTAATTATTTTGAAATGGCTTGTCTAATTGATATAATTCGTAATTTATTTAATTCCTAATTTTTATAAATATCTTCTTATATATGTAATTAATAATACTGAATATCATGCATATCAGCTACAGATGAGTCCTTTGCATCTTATCAAACAAGTTTGTTGCTTTTTATTTTATATGAGTTGTGGATCCATCAGATTTTACTTTTGAATATATATTCCTATATCATATGATAAATTCTTCATGTATATAAAATATCTATCTTGCATGAAAAAAATGTTCTCATTACAATTTTTGATCTTGATAAAAAAATGATGCATATTTTGAAACTAAATTATCAATGTTAGTATTTTTAAAAAACTGAATTGTAGTACATTTAGCAAACTATGCTTTTTTTCCTGTTTTTCAGCCTCCTGAAGATGTTACATGTGTTGCTTGGAATTGTCAGGTTCAGCATATTCTTGCATCCACCTTTCCTGCTCGTTGTATTGTTTGGGACTTAAGGAAAAATGAACCAATTATTAAAGTTTCAGACTCCTCATCAAGGGTAAATATTTTTAAACTCCCTTTTTTTCCCCTCCCTAGACTGGAGATCATTTAAGTTTGATCTTGCCTTTCAACTGGGTGAATTATGCCATAGCTAGAGTAATTAAAAATTTTAGATGATATATGTACTCTATTGTTCACCAATTGGATACAGTCTCTTGCAGCTGCTGATTTATAAATTATAATTTATATTCTGAGTGGACAAAGTTGCATAAGAAGGCATTAAATGCTAATTATCTTCCATTAGTTGATGCATGGTACATAGCTGAGTTCATAATAAAATGAGTATATCAGGAAAACATAATTTTTCCTTAAAAATATGTAACTTTTTAATAAAGTTTAATTTTATTAATAAGCATCTATAATAATTTATAAATTTGAAATGTTTATAAGAAATAAAATTTACTGTATGGACTGTATATATAGTACAAAGTCTGTAATCCGGACTTGTCGAGACTTTGGCGATTCCGGATTAGGGGTTTTTCCAGATTACAGGTCATCGATTTAAATCTGGTAAGATGGCATGCAGAAATTATACAGTTAAAAATATGAAACCATAGTTTATGAAATAAAGAGCAGTTGTGATCTAAAGGGTATCAAATTTTACCAAAAAAAAAAAAAAAACTTCATATTTATTTGTTTATTTTATTAAACATTTCTTTCAACGTGCGCATGCGTAAAGCATACATTATGCACATTCTTTACACGCATGCATAAAGTTTGTGGCTTTGAGGTCCGGATTATAGATCATTCCGAATAATGTATGTCCGGATTACGGACTTTGTACTGTATTAGTAAGAGAAATTTTAATGTGTCAATACAGTGAAAAAGTACCTTCTCCAAATAAAACACTTTGGATAAACATTTTCTCTCAGATTATTTAGCACTTAATTGGTATTGTAAGAGAGATTAGATTTTAATATTTCATAAATGCATCTTAAGTTGTGATGAAAACTGGATGTTATGTGTATTATTCTTAAAATTTTCCTATGAAAGTTATTTCATTAATATTCATTAAGTACTTTTAGTTTGATTACCATTGGACAAAAAATTGTACTTTCACTTTTGCTGTTAATAACTATGCGTATTAGTAGCATAATATAAAAAAACTAACAATCATATTTCAGGAATTAATTTTAAAACAGTGTACTTCAAGATCTGTTATAAACATTTTACTCTTTTTTAAATAGAAAGAGGAAGGAGCCAAATTAAAAAGAGTTGCGGTACTATTACAAATTTAGTTAGAATTTTATTTTACACATATGCATTTATCATTAATGAAATGTAGGAGAACTTGACAATTTTTTTAAAATACAATATGCCAAAATATTAAAATCCTTGTAATTTTTGTTTTAGTTCGTTCTGACTAGTTTGGTATATATCAGTTCTTATTTTTGATGATTACCATACATCTCCTTCTATAAGATGCATGTTTAAAGACGCACCTTAATTTCTGGGACTTAATTCTTAATTTCCAGGACCTGGAAATTAAGAATAACACAATAAATAAATAAAGAATTATTTGGTTGACAGACTAGTTTTTATTACCCTGCTGGATTACAATTTAATTGGAGAAAAATATTACATAAAGTTATTCAAATCAATGTTTACTTAGCATACAACTCGTCATCACTGTCAGAAATCTCATCCATTATCTGGACCTCATCTGTGTACCCCCTAAAGTACTCACTAGCCTAAGGTGCAGTTTCCTCACATGCAATGTATCAGTTCATCATTGTAGACATCTTATTTAAAAGGATTCCTTTTTGGTTCTTTATATTTAGGTTAAAAGTGACTTAGTATACACTCAGGGAGGAAACTGCTGTGTTAGAACTAGAAATGATATAATTTGAAACTTTTATACCACTTTGCTAATTGTTGTAAATCTCAAATGAAATTTCTGGAGTCTGAAGGTTGTCTCATTCTAAGGATTAACATGCACACTTTCTATTCATCATCAAAAATCTTTCGCCCTTGGTTTAGTTCACCGTAACATCACCATTGGTGTTTCCGTTGCCACGGGCGCTACTATTGTACGACACACCCAGTTTTAGACAAAAAATTTTTAAAGAAAAATGTATCTTATACACTGGGAAATATGGTAGACAGCTTTAATATGCAGTAAGCAGATTGAAAGTCTTGCAAAATCTGTTAAAATTTCTAATTGCACATAAAAATGTTATAAATAAAAATTTGAGCAGTTAGATTTGATAACTTTCAACGTCATTTTTTTTTATTTAACCTGATTATGAAAATAACTGATGTTAGCAGTGATCAACTACTGTAGTTATATCACAATTGTACATTTTTTAGAATTATCGAAATTTAATTAATCTGAAAGCATTCTGTCCCTAAACATATAAATCTTAATCTAGTGTATTGTGGTAGTGCTTAAAAGTTCCGTGCTTACTCTTCAGTGTTTATTACATTATTTCATATATACTTTTTTAATCAATCCTGCATTATCAATTAAACATTATTTAACAGACATTAAAGGAAATCATTTTTAGAGAAATAATCTTACTGTTAACATCAAATTATTTTTTATTATTTGCTATGTCGGAATGACTAAAACATTACACACCTTGCTGATGGAAAATATATATTGGCATCCAGTTATCAAAGCAGAATATATTTAAATCAAATACATGTTACAAGTTATTAACAAAAATGGATAAATGCTTTATCTATGAGACTTTGGTCATGAATTTTTTGTTCAGTGAAAGAAATGCCATTTTATTGCTTTGCAACTGGCAACAGTTTTTTTGTTTTGTTTTCTGTAGAACAGTTATGTTGCATGAAAGATCTAAAACAGGTACACTGTTGATGGGCATATTCACATTCAGCAGGCTATTGCCATCTGAGCATTCATTGGTGACAAAGTTTAACATAATGTTAATGTGATAGTTGTTCACTAGTGCTCACAAGTGGACAATATTGACATTTTTAGTTATAATGAATAACTTGACAGAATTTCCTTTGTTGATCACTTATGTGTAACTGTCTTTGCAGTAGCTCTACTGCTGACTTGGCAAAGTTTAGCTTGATGTTTCACTGTGATAAACTGTAACATTTCAAATGTTTTGTTATTTCTCTAACTCAAAATTCAGTTCCATTTGTAATGCATAGGCTTAGCAATGTCTTCTTCACTTGCCATGACAAAATGCATTAGGTGCTTTCATTTGCTGTGACCAAATATTGAAGGCCATAACTGTCAAAATTCATATTTAGATGTGTTAGTATATAACATTATACAATGCTGCCTTATCTTGTGGCAGTTTCAAAGCTTTCCAATTGATTATTTTACAAAAACTGATACACTATTAATCAGGGCTGTAGAGTCGGAGTCAGGCAGATTTTAGGGTAAAAGGAATCGGAGCTGGAGTTGCTAAACACAGGTTGATGCCGACTGCAACTCCAGTTTTTGTTGGACAGTTTGAATTTGAAATGAAATTAAAATGAATTGGAAAAAAATAATGACAAGCTAAGTTATTATTTTTGTTTATCGACTATATACATTAATAAGTAGTTATTTTCTATTTTATTGATATATTAGTAAATAAATATAAGGGAGGAGGATGGATGTGATATTTGTCATTAGTGATTAAACTGATTCATTTAGTTACAAATTTCACTGGTAAATTTAGGTAAGCAGCAAGAACTCCCAAAATTAATGCCATTCTTAGAAAGCAAGCAGGAAAAGGAGCAATTATTGATCAAGCAATGCAATAAGGAAGTACATATTTGATGATAAAGAGGTTGTTAGAATTAAGAACTTTTTTTAGAAGATGTAGATAACCCTAATGTTTCACTAACAGAAAGACTGTGGAATGATCTTGCAGAATTGGAAACTCTTCTATCTACACCGTATATAGCCACAAAAAGCTGCAATCTGAAGAATTGACAGAAGGTGAGAATGGAAGAATATGATGTTTGTTCTTTCTGAAATGGAGGTTTTATTGCAGAAGGAATCATTTCTTTAAAGAAGAAAAGAGAAACTAGTTTGATAGACAGTGAGACCTTGCTGAGTTGAATATATGGAGATTTGAAACACCGAATTTTCTTGGATGACGAACAAATTAAAAAGTCAAAGAAGCCATCTATGAACTTTCATTAAGAATGAAATTATTCTCAACAATTTGAGAATTTGAATCAGGACAGTCAAACTGCAGATATTGCATTTGAGTCTCTATCATCCTCTTCCAGTGATGAGTTAGATTTTGAGAAATATTTTTGGATAATTTTGAAAAGGCTAAGGCAAAGCGAGTGGAAATAAAGAACCAAGAGCCTTTAGATGTAAAACTGAAAAAAATACAAGATTTCTACACGGCCTTAGAAGAAATAGAGAAATATGATTGCGCTTGCATGACATTTCTTTTAGAACTTAAGTTTATAAAAATCTATCCTGAAAAGTTAAAAGAAGTAGCCCTAACAGGAAAAGCTCTTCTTCCTACTCAAGTTAGTGTGGAAAGACTCTTTTCATCTCTGAAGTTTATCAAATTGGATCTATGGCCCTCCAAGAAGATCTTGCCGAAGTTATACTGTTTTTTAGAAATAACTAATGCCAGTTTTTCCATTTCATAATAAATGCAAACTTATATACATTAATTTGCTATGCCATCAGTTTTTTTTTTTTTTTTTTTTTTTTTGTAGCATCTATTACTTCTTTTATATTAAAAAAATAAGCTGTAACTCATGTGTATATGTTTACATATATATGTGTGTGTGAGGGAGTCGGAGTCTTTAAAATTCCGGGAGTCAGAGTTGGTCATTTTCCTTACCGATTCCACAGCCCTGCTATTAATGCATCACTGTTATTTGCACTTCTTCATGCAGTATATATATTACCTTGTTTGATGCAAAAAAACATCAAAATTAGATCTTAGAATAGAGCCGAGTTCTTTTATTATGCATATCTTTCTTTGTAGTGGCAATGATAGCCAATGAATAGGCATTATCATTCTTCAAGTTAAGATCTTTTCATCAGGATGGTAACTGAATGATGGTGTAAAGCATTTTCTTTTAAAATATAATTAGGTCCTCTGCTGGTCACTAGTAATATTTTTATGTATACTGAAGGGGGCTATGGTTAATGGCTGCAGTGTTCATGTTTTAAGTATGTTGATAAGATACTGAATTGGTTTCTGGACCATGCATTAGTCTCTGTTTAATCATTGCCAGATATTGCTGGACGAAACATTTGATGTATTGGTCGTGAAACATTTTCAAATTGGACTAAAATTGTAACATTTGTGGTTTGCATTTCCTCCAACTTCCAGTGGAATTTGTACTGTGATACGCAGAGGCTGTCGTTTGTATTTCAGGAAGACAGGCACATAATTAGATGGATGTCTGTAATGTTTTGGTCATTCAATGAGTTTATGTAATATGTGAAAAGAAAAAATGCTTTAAATAATGTATCCAACAGTTACGATGCAAAGTGGTGGCTTGGCATCCAGAAGTAGCTACACAGTTATGTCTTGCTTCAGAGGATGACCATAGTCCGGTAATTCAGCTGTGGGATCTGCGTTTTGCTACTTCACCTTTGAAAACTCTTGAACATCACCAAAGGTATATTATGTATATCAGTGTTCTATATTTTGTTGTTCAATGATAATTAAAAAGTATTTAAAATTTTAGTATTTCATTGTAATGCATACAGTAAGGTGTACTAAATTTGTTGTGATACTTGTTTCATGGATTATAAAATTTCACAAATATATATTGTAACCAATAAATTTTGGGGGCAAATATTTGGTTTCCTTGGAAAAAACCTTTTTCATGCATTTTCAGAGGCGTGTTATCAATTGCTTGGTGCCCTCAAGATCCTGATTTACTTTTGTCTTGTGGAAAAGACAACCGTATTTTATGCTGGAATCCAAATTCAAATGCTGAAAATGGGGAGGTTAGTGTACCATAATTATGTAATTTGAATTTTATGCATAAATTTAAGTATGTTGATTATTCAATAAAACTAAAGATTTATCTATTAAAACAGTGAATGAAGTTTTGATTGCTTAACTTTGATACAGCTGGAATGTTCTTCAAGTTCTTTGTATCTATAAAACATTTAGTAAAGAATTTTAAAAGCTGACTTAGTATTTGTGAAAAGTTATTGTGTTCTAAAGCACATAGCTGAGTAAAATTAGCTTGTGACAATAAGGAATTTTTTTTTTTTTTGAGGGGGGGGGTCATAGTTCTATTTTATAGGTTACATTTATGTAAAGTGATATATTCATGATTAACCTTTTTTTCTTTTTAAAAATGATTAATTGGTATATATATTTGAAACAGATTGTATGTGAACTACCAACAAGCAATCAGTGGAGTTTTGATGTGGCATGGTGTCCAAGAAATCCTGCTGTAATTGCCAGTTCATCCTGTGATGGACATGTTGGTGTTTTCTCTTTGATGGGAGGTCAACAGCAGGTCCAGTGTAGCTCAAAGGTATTGCAGAAATATTAGTATTTAAATTAATACTTTAATTAATACTTTTTTTTTTTTTGGTAAAGGCAGTTTTACTGGAATAACTCCGTATTGTTTCTCATGTTTGTTCCATATTTGTTCATTACTGAAATAACTGCATAACTGTTCTCTTTGTCTCCCTTTCTAATTATATGCTAGGTTAATATGTAATTTTTTATAAAAGTGTTAATAGGGAAATGATGTAGAGTACAAAGTCCGTAATACGGACTCGTCAGAACTTCGGCGATTCCGGATTAGGGGTTTTTCCGGATTATAAATCATCAATTTAAATCTGGTAAGATGAAATGCAGAAATTATACAATTAAAAATATGAAACCGTAATTTGTGAAATAAAAAGCAATTATAATCTTAAAGGGTATCAAAGTAAAAATATATATATATTTGTTTGCTTTATTAAACATTTCTTTCAATGTAAGTTGTTTCTTTTTTTTTTTTTTTTTTTGTACTAATACTTTTTCTTTAATTCTATAAGCAGACATAATTTCTTGTTCAGTTACAAAATTCCACTGTTCGAGTCTTGTAATTGCTGTGGTGAGAATACTGACTAACTTGTCAATTGAAATTTTTTCGTTTTCAATAACCTCTCTGTCACATTCTTCACTCTTCTAAGCGGTATTTTCTGGATCTAGAACCATTCTACAGATTTCGCCGTCATTAATTGATTAATGATTGGGTCATTGTCATTGCAATGAAGAACTTCTGTTGTATCATCTTCATTTATTAACGCTTCTCCACATTTCTTTACAAAATCCAATAACTGGAAAATTTCATCTTTAGTTTGCGATGTCTGAAAATCTTCAAATTTGCAGCTATCATCTGCACCGTCCTCGCCATAAATTATGCCAAGCATTTTTTAACGTATCTGGAGACGCATCCTCCCAATGCGCATGCGTAAATGAGCATTAACGTGCATGCATAAAGCATACAAAAAAAAAAAAAGTTTGTGGCTTTGAGGTCATGGATCATTCCAGATAATGGATGTCTGGATTACGTACTTTGTACTGTATTCTTTTTTGTAGTGATAGCTGCTGTTTTAAATGAAATGTTTTATAGTTGGATGATGCGTAAAGCTGCATGAAAATGTAACTTTGTTATTTAAAGTAGGTTTGGTAGTTCGTCTAAATTCTAAAATCCTTCCTCCCATTGAGACTGCCCTAGTTGTGTATGCTCTGTGAAGGGGTTAATATTTTTCTATCTGACTTCAACCATAAGTGGAATCCCAATGTTGCCACATTTATATGTCATCTTACTAGGTAAACTGATGATCTAAAATCCAGAAAAAAATCATATATATCATAACTGGACTTCTGCCACATGCAGAATGGGATTTGTATTTGTTATGTTCTGAATTATATAAAATAAAAATAAATCTGTAATCTAGATCTGTTCTGTAAATAAATTATCTAAATACTTTCCCAAAGCAGCATGTTGTAGAGACATTAGGTATTTTTTTGGAAGCAGAAAAAGATGAAAAATGAGCAATCGCCGGGAAGTCGAACCATGGACTTCTGAAATACCGGCCCAGCGTGCAGAACCACTACAACACAAAGGCACGCTAGGAAGGCAGTAGAAATACCTTATATACTCCCCCTTTTAAAGGGCAACTGGAGTTTTTAGGGGACCCAATCGCCAAATCCTGGGTGAGGAGAATTGTCATCATCCAACATCCTTTTAGTTTGGGCGCCACTGTAGAGACATTAGGTTAATTGGAAAAGCCGGAGAGATGAAAAATTAGCAACTGCCTTTGCCGGGAAATGAACCACGGACCTCTGAAATACCGGCCCAGCGTGCAACACCACTATGAAGACTGGAGAAATACCTTATAATGTTATCAAGATAGCTTACCCATACACATAATTAATAAATTCTCCAATGGATTGTAATGCTTGCTCTTTATTTAAATTCACATTTTTATATTAATGTACATTTAACGTATAATTACAAAAAATTACACTCGAAGATTGCTGTTTTTATTTAGCACACACTGTTGGACATTGTTAATCATTTTCTCGCTTTTTTCACAAAAACTCTGAGCCGAAAGATGTGTGTGTGCATCTTTCAACATGTAGGTTATGCCCGAACACAGGCTTATGACTTGATCAAACCCTCTGACTGCTCGATTTGTGGACCAAAATCACTTCCAAAATTGCATAATTCTTTTTATATAGATTTTTATCATGAGAAACTAAGTTGCCAGAAAACACAATTTCAGATGTTTTCACCAAAAAAATCTTTTTTTTATATAAATTTCAGTCTAATTACAGTTAATTTCTATTTATTGCATAATGTAAAAAAAGTAAAATGTATAAAATTTAAGAAAATATAAAGCGCTGAGGGTAAAATACCTTAGAAATGCTGTTTAGTATGATAGAGTTCAAAACAGGGTTCAAGGCAAAGTCCAACTTCACAGTTTTTGCACCAGATTGAATAAATCTAATTAATAATCAATCTAATTAATGATTCAATAATTTAATTAAATAATCAAGATAATCGCTGAACATTTTCTAGCAGCCATTTCTGTAAGAAAAAAGCGGCAAAAAGTGAAGTTTGAACGCTAATACCACGTACCTTCAAATCCCGCAATTTAGTGGACTACTAACAATATCTGTTGTCCAAAATGTAAAGTAAACTCCTAGTACTGTATATAATTTATTTCAATGGTTAAACGGGGGAAAAAACGGGATGCGCTCCTCAATTAAGGAAGAAAAACATATGCCCGCAGAAATCGCGGGATAAGCAAATTTTGCTATATTTGAGTTGCTTGTGGAAATCGCAGGATGATCAGCCAGAAGGTTAATGTTTCAGCATACAGTGGTGGCTAAAATTGTGGACACTTTTGGAAATTTTTATGTTTTTGAACTTTGTATGCTTATAGAAAACGTTACGTTTCACAAAATGCAAACTTGTATGTATCATTTTAAAGAGAATTTATTACTGAATTCAATACAAAACACAAAATTCAATTATTTGCAATACAAAAAAAGTTAAAGGATAATAGTTATCGATATACATTAGATAGTGATGATTGCAGTGAGTTATCAGTACTTAGTAGGGTGCCCTTTATTTTTTATTACAACACATCGACGTTTAATTGAGCTGACAAGAGGTTTAAGCTCCTTTGTTATTACATGATGCCAGGAAACAATTATAGCTTCAATTAGTTCCCTTTTATTTGATGGGCGCTTCATTCAGACAAGAGTTTTCAAACGGTGCCGCAAACTTTCGATAGGATTGAGGTCAGAACTGTTTCCTGGCCATGACAACAATTTAATGCTTTTTGTACGAAACCACTCTTTCGATATTTTGGCTGTGTGGCAAGGAGCAGAATCCTGCTGAAAAATAAATGAAGCATTGTTGTGAAAGAGATCTCTTATGGAAGGTAGAAGTTTTGGTTCTAGAATAGTGTCAATGTATTTTCTGGCATTCAGTGTCCCATTGATTACATGAAGGCGATCAGTATCATCTGCTGATATGCATGACCAAATCATAATACTAACTGGGTTCTTCACAGTTGCTTGAAGGCAGTCAAGATGTAGCTCTTCTCCTATTCTACGTCTTACATATTTTTGCCATCACTACCGAATAATGATATCTTAGTTTCATCACTCCATATAACTTGTGACCACTGATCATCTTTCCAATTAATGTGTTCCTTTGCCCACTGCTGTCTTTTTTTTTTTTTTTTTCGTTTCTGAAAATTAAGATAAGGCTTTTTTCGTGGAATTCTACCTCTCAGTCCAACATCTGTTAATCTTCTCCTGATTGTTCTTGAACTGACAGAAACACCAGCATCATTCAGATCACTTCTGATGGCCGCTGATGACATTTTTCTATCTTGGAGACATAGTCCTTTTATTCTTCTGTCATCAATAGATGTGGTGCACCTTTTTCAGCCTTTTCCTTCTTTTGTTTTTTATTGAATTTGTCTTTTGATATCGTAAACAAAACTTTTGGACTCCAGATGTAGTCACTGAACCACCCACCTGTCTTGTAATTTCAGCATAGGGAAGACCACTTTCTCGTAACACAATAATATTACATCTCTTTCTAGGTGTCCAATCTACTCTTTTATTTGATGTTATTGCTTTTTGACTAAATATTAAAAATTTTTACAAAAATTCCTACTTGTAATTGCAGTGTATAAGAAACAGGTCCTCCTTCTACAGAACAAAGCAAAATAATGAATTGTTTCAAGTGTAAACATGATGTCAGCTTCTATTGGCAGTTGCTAACATTTGATTGGTTCTCAGAGCAAGAACAGTGGTTGGCCAGGAAAGCTAGATATTACAAACCACTTCATAACTGTGTTTTTTATTTATATTAAAGTACATATAACTTTTTTGTATTGCAAATAATTGAATTTTGTTTTTTGTATTGAATTCAGTAATAAATTCTCTTTAAAATGATATATACAAGTTTGCATTTTGCGAAATGTAACATTTTTTATAAGCATACAAAGTTCAAAAACATAAAAATTTCCAAAAGTGCCCACAATTTTGGCCACCACTGTATATTTTAACACAACATTTTGCATAAGCTAAACTCTTGTTATATTACTTCTTTATTGTTGCATTTTGAGAATTAACTAAAGAAACCTAATTATTCTTTAGCACATTTCTTATTATTTGGCTTTCACTAAAATTAACCTTTATCCTATTGTTTAATTGAAAAACTAAAATTATTAGAATTATAGTCCTTCACTTTGCAAAAAATCCAACTATTTAATCATGATTGAAATCAGCAAGTATTGTTTGACAATTATGGGGAATATGTTGAGATATGGTTAGAAATGTTTTACGAAATCTGCTGCCGTGTACCAGCTGTTGTCATCTATTTAAAGGTAAAATACATTTTTATGCTTGAGAAATTTTGTATATAACATTTAGAAAAGGAAGTAAGATAGTTTGCTTTGTTAAAAATTCATTCTGTTACTCTGTCATTTAGAACACTGACTTTAAAGATAATTTAAGGTAATCAAATTTGAATCACGAGGTTAATATTAGAGATGTTCTGCGCCTGGATTACCAATAGGTTCAGGCCCACCAGCGGCCGAGTGGTAAAGTCATTGAACACTGGTAGTTCGGTCCGAGGTTCGAATCCCGCGAACGGGCTGGCTGCATGGGTGTTTTCGTGGTTTTCCTCGTGTGTACGTGTATACGAGCCAGTTTCCCTTAGAAAGTCCTCCACGAAAGGCATCCCTACCCTTAGGCAAATAACCCTAGTGTACTTTGCCATAATTAAGTAAACCAAACCAAAACCAATAGGTTCAATAGTGACCCCCTGAGGATGATTAAATTTTAAAGAGAGGTCATTGATGGTCAAGAGGTAGATAGCCAAATATGCACCTTCGATTAAATTGGTATAGTCAACATTCCATTGATAATAATCCATTGATTATGAAAAAATATTAATAAAATTGATAACTGTGTATTGATATAAAAATTTATAATGATGTAAGAAAGAAATCATATGAAATAAATATAAGAGGAAAAATACATGAAAATTATTTTATGTATTTTAAAAATCAATATGTTTTAAAAACATATAATTTTTTATGCTGTAACTTCAATATAAAAATTATGAAACTGCTGAACTGCATTATGTATGATCTTGATACTGTGATACAAAAATAGTTGATTGCATTGAAAAAGGATGGTCAAGCACAGGTCTTATTTAAAACATGTATATGTGCTAAGTTTTAAATTTGAAAAGTCATCCAGTGAAATATCCCGAAATAAAAGTTGTTACCAAATGAACATTATTAACTCTTCCTCCCCACATAATGGAAGCAGGCCTTAGTCAAGGCAGTAATTTGCTACAGAAAACAAGTAATAAGTTGAATATTTTTAAGAAGGTGATTTAAAAATTAAGCACTTTTATGTGAAATATTTAAAAAAATTGCAACTATACATCAAGCGTAGCCATCACTTTAATTAAAATTGAACTTTTGTATAATTAGAACTTGTGATTTTTGTTTCTGAAAACTTGTTTATATTTATAAAATAAAAAAAAAATGCACAAGATAATAAAACGAATGTAATAAAACATTTTGTTTTCAAAACTTTTGTACATATTCTTAGTCTGATCATTATTTATGTGCAGTTATTTATGTTGTGTGCTGTATATCACATATAACTTAAGGGGTCGATGGGGAAAAAAACTTTTCTTTTAAAAGGGGTTAATGCAAAAAAAGTGTTAGGAATCCCTATTCTACATAAATTTGTGTTTAACTATGTAAAGGTTACTTATGATAGAAAATAAATCAATAGGATAATTTTACAGATTTCCTCTACAAATCTGTATTTAATTATGTTTGATTTATCTGTATTACATAGGTAATTGTAAAATTCTATTCTTATTTTCTAGGAAGGCACGATAGGCAATAACATTCTTTTAATTTTAGATAGCTGAATCATTTCCTGGATCTGATAAATTGATACAGCCACCTAATGTCGAATCTTTACATCGTCATATTTCTGTTCCTCTCCAGAAGCCTCCAAAGTGGGTCAGGAAACCTGTCGGTGCCTCATTTGGTGTATGTATTTATCTTTTGTATATTTCAGTACATTGCATTAAATATAATAGCCTTATCAGGTACATAATATCACATTAGAAAACCTCTTTTATTAATTGCTGCAAATGTTCAAAATTTTCAACTGTTATTGTAAATTTAACATAGTTTAAGTTATCAGTAAACATATTATTAAAATTATTAAGAAGCACACCTGCAGCTTGTAAACTGTCTACCTTGTTGTGTCAAGCCTCTGGAAACTTATTTGTAGGATCGATTGTTAAATGAATTTAAATTTTATTTTTTGCACAATGGCAATTCTTGCCAAACTGTGTGGATAATAAATGTGTGATAGTATGACATAATAATCTATAAATTTTAGAAAGACTCCACCAAAGACATTCCTAATATACCTTTTTCTGTGATGGATCAGTAATACTTTTAATGTTCAAGATATTATTGAGAATAAATGAAAGTTATTTGCTAAGATGCGGCTGTGAATAGCATATCATATTTTGTCTACTTGCACAGATGTTTGCCTCTTCTCCCAAAAAATCCACATAAAACTTTCTGCATGTAGAAACACGCCATATAAAATGAAAAACAGGCATAAAAGATCTGTGATAAAAATGTTAGATTTTTCTGAAGATTCAATGTATAACTTCCAAAATCACGAAAATTTAAGAAGCTGTTTGATTATTGTAATTCAGCTACACTTTTTGCATATAACTTGTTAGAATATGATTTTCAGCCAATACAGCATTTCCTAATGTTATCATTTGATGTTTATTCATTTTGCCATGGGCAGGAATAAACATCAGAGTTTGTGCTAATTTTTGAGAGTTTGTGCTAATTTTGCACTGAATGTAAAAATTTTAATAAATTTTACCACACATATACCCTCAATGTATTATTCTGTTTAAATTTCTTTTGCAGTGAAATTTTTCTATCAAATAGGAATTCCTTTTTCTGAAAATTTAAAAATTTATTCCTTTCTTTGAGTTTATTTATTTCAACTTGCAGTTTGGAGGAAAACTAGTCTCATTTGCCAATGAAGTCGACAGTTCACTTCAGAGTGGCGAACAGCCAATTAGATATGTTCATATTAGTCAAGTTATTACAGAGCCAGAACTGCTTAAAAAATCTGAAAAATTGGAGTCTGCCCTGGCTAATGGCAATCTCGTTGAGTTTTGCCAGAGTAAAGTCGAGAGCAGCGCAGATGAAAAAGAAAAAATGTTATGGAATTTTCTTCAAGTGAGTATCATTTTTCTGTCTAATGGTCATACTTTTTATTTATTTATTTTTTTAAAATTTTTACAGCTGTGTGTAAGAACTAACTTGTAAAATTAGAAAATTTTAACTGAATGCTAGACTACCAAAAGAATATTATGGTAGTGATAGTTTTTTAATATAGTAAAATGAGGTTTTATATTCAGCTGTTTTATCTAAATTTTTCTCATGGTGATTCTAGATGTAGAGTTTTTAGATAAAAACCATTCTTAGGCAGAAATAAAAAATAGTGAAAAATTTATATGCAACTGAGTTTTTATGTTTTATTAAAATAATATGGCCTATTAGTAATTGGTGTTCTAATTCAGTAAGACCGAGTTCTAACTCATTTTATCAGCTGTTGTCGTTATAATAATTTCTAGGTATTTAAAAATTTGCTGCTAATTAGTATATTCAGTTATTTTTCTTTTTGTTTTAGAAGCAAATTTCAAGTTGTTTTATTCCTTCTTTTTAAAGTAATCTGATCCTAATAAATTTTACTTGTATTTTTGGTGACTTCATATTCTGTCAAACTCTGCAGAGCTTTTCTTAAACCTTTTACCTGTTACATGTCTTTACTTGTTTCATGTCTGTTAGGTTCTTTTGTCTTCTTAATAAATAAATAAAGGAACTTAACAAAGTAACCACACCAGCTGAAGTGTTAAAATAAATGCCAGTCTAAGACTAAATTTTGTATAATTTAAAAATAGAAATTTGTATGCTTCTAGTTATAGCTAAATTGCTTATTATAAGCAGCAAAATCATGTTTTAACCCCTTAACTGCCGCAGGCGTATATATATATGCCTTGCTCAGCCGATGCATTAATTGCCAAGAGCATATATATAAGCGATAAGCAACGGAGGACGTGGGCACTGTCCCTTTACCAAAAGGTTAATCGGTATAGCACCACGTCCACCTATATCTAGAGCCTAAAGAGGAATCACAAGACGCCACGCACCGGGCTCCCAAACCCAAAGCCAAATTCAACCCGGGGGCAGTCCAAAACAGACCAAATTGCCCACGAAAAAGACAGTCCCAACAACCGCCCAGGCTCCACATTTATTAAATAAAATAACAAAAGCGTGCAGGGCCAAAAAGGGCGAGTTTTGACAAGAAGCAAAAATTTTACAAAGGTGTAATACACACAAATAAGAATATACATAAGCTAAAGTACAGTCTGATGTTGAGCAGCCCAATAATATACAATGAGTAAAATATAGACAGTAGGAATTAGACTTAATGACAATATAACATAAAAATAGAGAACATAGTGACATAATGAATGTAAATGATTACAGCAATACACAGAGGATATACCAAAAGAAATAAAAATAAAATAATACAATAGCCATCAGTGTGTGACTGGAAGTACTGATACATGGGAAATGCGTAAAGCATTCAGAATTCGACTTAGTTCAGAAGACTAACAACTGGATCGGGATACATTGCATAGCCAAGTACATATATTTGACAAAGCAACATATTGAAAGTTAGTGTAATAAACTAGATATTCGCTATGACAAAGTCATGTTACAATACCGCAGGTAGTGATGTGATACAGAAGAAGTAGGTAGCGTACAATATAAATTTGATCTCGGTACGCATTCAATCCCTATAGTACAACAATAGTTAGGAAAAAGGAATATGTTATACAAAATATATTTAGCATGCAACTGTGTTTAAGATATACAAAGGTCGATACATTGGTTACTACCAATTATGGTACAGGATTCGTACCAAACTTAGTAACTGAATGCAATAGCGGTACAATACAATTGATTACGTGGTATTGTGGGAAAAACATGCGATAAGGCTAATTATACGATTATGAGGAATAAAAATAACATATTTAGCCTGCATAAAAGTTAACGAATATAAGATACCATACAATACTATACAATATTACAATACAATACAATACAAAAAAAAAAATTAACATATTTAACCTGTACTAAAAGCCAACTGATATAAGATACTATACAATACTATACAATACCACAATACAATACGATACAGTAGATACAATACCACAATACAATACCGTAGATGCTATACAATACTATAAAATGAAAATACAAAATACATTCAGTGTTCAGACACAAAAATACATTTAAAATCGTCATGACACCAGTGATCCTAATGCAGCAAATAAATTGATGCAGTTACCTGCATAAAAGATAACTAATATAAGATACCATACAATACTATACAATACTACAATACAATACAATACAAAAGCTAATTAAACGATTATAATGAATAAAAATTAACATATTTAACCTGTATAAAGCCAACTGATATAAGATACTCTACAATACTAAACAATACTACGATACGATACAGTAGATACTATACAATACCATACAATAAAAATATAAAATACATTCAGTGTTGGTAACACAAATATACATTTAAAATTGTCATGACACTGTGATCCTTATGCAGCAAATAAATTGATGCAGACAGTTAAATGTGTTACTATACATTTGCAAAGGATGAAATATAGACTTAAGTATGCCACAAATTATGAACATATATTATACCGTGAAAAACACAAAATACATTCAATGTTGGTATAAATACAATGGATATATTTAAAACAATGGATAATGGTTGGATATATTATACAATGAAAATCTCTAGCGACCCCAATACATTCAGTGTTATTATTACACAGAGAATTAAATGTATGATATTACATGGGCAATTGATGAAAAGAAGACAGTAACAGTATAATGTATAGCCAAATATGCAAGTATATGGTATACCGATGTTTAACAGCAACTGGCAAACAATGTACCATTAATACGCCACAACTAGATATGCCAAGATATTATATACTATTATACAGTGAAAAACGCAAAATACGTTCAATGTAGATATTATCATAGTGCATTATGAGGGAATACAGACAGTTATATGTTTGATAATACATGGGCAAAAGATAAAAATAAAGACAATAACATTATTATTCATAGGTAAATATGCAGATTTAATATATTCAGATATTTAAACAGCACCTGGTAAAAAATGTACCATAAGTACATTGATAGCTGCTATGGACAGCAAAGAGATTATTAGGACGGGACATATACAGATAATATGCGAATTCAATATATTCAGATTTAACAGCACCTGGTAATAAATGTACCATAAGTACATTGATAGCTGCTATGGACAACAAAGAGACTATTAGGACAATACATATGCAACAGATAAATATGCAAATTCAATATATACAGATATTTAACAGCACTTGATAATAAATGTGCATATGCAAAAGATAACATTATTATTCATCGGTAAATAGGCAAATGCAAGATATACAGATACTAAACAGCACCTGGTATTAAATGTACCATAGGTACAAGGACAGCTGTTATAGACAATATTACCTGGATTGCACTTAGAAAAAGATGCTGAGAGAGAATATACAAATATTTGACTGCTGCTATACACAGCGACTTATAACAGATGGATTACAATAGATTACAATGGTTACAAACACTTCAGAGCATAAAAGTAGATGGGTTATAATATATACAAGCAGTTGAAGAAGTTGAATCATATGTCGATATTATAAGGCACAAAGATCAAGTCCCAGATTCATCAGTTTGTCAATTAAACGGACTATCTTTTTGACTTGATGCCGTTGCTTAATCAAAAAACGACTAAAGGCAGTCCTATCCGTTGGTGGAAAAGGAATATGGAATTCAGTAGTAAGTGGACAATCGATTAGATAGTGTTCTGGATTGCCCAGTTGTCCACAACTACAGAGTGCTGAGGAAGAGAGTCCATGTCTCTCGAAATATAAGGGAAAAGGCCCGTGGCCCGTAATGTAGAAGATCAGCTGTGGTGGCATGATTAATCGGTCTAAATCTACTTTAGGGACATGGGCAAATGCTCGGCGACCAGTTTCCTCCGAACTCCATGCATTTTGCCACAAGGAGATGGCTGTGAGAAGTAAGTGACGCTTTAGATTAGATACTGGGCGTGAAACCGTCAAGGTCTGTGTTATCTCGTGATTCTGTGCTGCTTCTTTAGCAAGCCTATCGACAGTTTCATTACCGTAGTTCCCCACATGAGCTTTTGTCCATTCTAAACAAATGTGTAGATTTTTATGTCGAGACAAGCTAGTTTGAATGTCCACAATAATGGGGGATGAATGCAGAGGATTTAAAATGGCATACAATGTGGAGAGACTATCGGTAAGAACATAGGAATGTGAATATCGATGATTAATGATTGTTTGTATTGCTTGTCGAATAGCAATAGCCTCACTCTGGAAGACGCTGTTAAAAGAAGACAGATGGCATTTCCACTGGTGAAGAGTTGTCTGATCTTGCAGTATGGCTATATATGCACAGCCAACCTGATCTTCCAATTTAGAGCCATCAGTATAAAAGACCAGATCAGCATGAGAAACTTGATGACTCGGTTTGAGATTAACTTTAACTCCCGTACCATAGAGGGAGGGGTGTTGATCTTCTCTGTTTATTGCTGCTTCGTAATCATGGGAGGAGAAAGAGTGATCTCCAAACTGAACTGAACAGCCAAGTTGTCTAATCAACTGATAAGCTGCGTCCTTTTCAACCGCAATAGGTAAAGGCAAGACTCCAGCTGCAACTGCGAGGGCGTTAGTTGGTGATGTGCGGAAGGCACGAGTGATATTTAAGAGAAATGGTCTCTGTATACTATTTAAATGTCGGACTTTGCGTCCTTGCATTGGTGCTGCCCAAATTGCAGCACCATATGAAACAATCTTTTCAGTTACTGTTGCATATAAAACTTTGAGAAGATGTGGATTTAAGCCCCAGTGGATTCCCTTCATAAGTTTAAGGCGTTGAGCAATCACAGCAGTACGCTTCTTGAGATCTAACACATGGGGAATCCAATTGAGTTTGTCGTCGAAAATAATTCCAAGGTATTTAAGTTCACGTTTAATACGAAGACGCTTGCCATTTATGGTTATTCTCGGCTGACGAGTCATAGAACCACCCTTCTTAGGAATGATCAGAATTATTCGCAAAGCTTTGGAATGCAACACCACAATGGCCTTAACAAAGTATGCGAAGGAGGATTCTATTTCAGAGAAGTGTGGGGAGAAATTGGAGAGAGGGGTGTGTCTAAAGCGGTGAAAGTAATGACTGTGCAGTATTGGCTGGTGTTGTTTGAGTAAAACATATTTTTTTTATTCTGTGTCCTCCATTTTCGTTTACATTTTATAGTAGGTTCCAGGAATAAAGAAAGATATAACGGATGTTTTAAACCCATTTATCTTTTTTGAATTATTTTTTGATGAACTGCTCATGCTTCATATTGTTACTGAAACTAACCATTTTGTAGACAAGTATATGAACCAACACCTTGCAAACAAAAAATCAAAAACAAAATCGTGGCATTCAACCAGTTCAGAAGAGATATATGTTTTTTTTAGGCATACTGATTTCACAAGTTATAACACTGAAACCTGATATTACACATTACTGGTCTAAAAATGAATTGATCGAAACTCCATTTTAAGGATCTTTTTTATTATAAAAACATCATTTTTATTGTACTTACATCTTTTTATTATACTTTGACTCAAAACATTAAATTTTGTGCATTCATTTTTTTTCTTTATTTTGTGAAAGTAAACAGTTTTTAGAAAGTAAAACTTGCACTTACTTTCCCCCTAATACATCGCATAACTACGCACGCCTCTGTGAAAAACTGTAACATTGGGAAATGAATCTTGTACGTTTTCCGCGGCAATTAAGGGGTTAAATTAGGATTAATTATTTAATATTTTTATGATCTGTTTTTCAATATTTTTTCCAGGAAAAGTTATTGAAAGTAATTTATTTTGTCACTCTTCCCTTTTGATAACTGATACTTCTTTCTTGACATGCTTTTCTTCAGAAGGTTATGCCCACTAGTGGCCGAGTGGTTAAGACACTGAACACTGGTAGTTTGGCCTCAGGTTCGAATACCGCGAACGAGCTGCCAGCATGGGCGTTTTCATGGTTTTCCCCATGTGTAACTTGTATACGAGCCAGTTTTCCTTAAAAAGTCCTCCACAAAGGTATCCCTCCCCTTAGTTTAGGTAGCCACAGTGTATCCCTACCAGGTATCCCTCTCAGGTAGCCGTAGTGTGCTTTGCTGCAATCTCAATAAATCAATCTTCAGAAGGTTGTTATAGTTATTTAGTACCACTATTTGAAGAGTTTGTGAAAATAATTTTTCTGTGGAAAGTGTTTTATGAAGCCATTCATCGTAAAGACCATAACTTAAGTTCAAAAGTTATGGTTTTATGGTCTGTCAAAGTGACATGTCGTAAGACATATAACTTTGAGGGTTTTGTCAAATAAATTACCTATAATTTGCCTGCAAAAGCCAGTTGATTTTATGCAAATAAACATGCATCTGGTCTTATTTTAAAAGTTTAAGTAAAAACAATCAATCAAGAATGTAAATTTTTTAAAAAGTTAGTATTAAACATTTTTTATTTTATTGAAATAGTATGACTTGATAAATTTAAAATTTGTCTTTATTTTTGATTTATTTTTGTCTCCTGTTAAAATTAAAGAGATGTTTAAAGTTAATTGCAGGCTCCTTCTATTGTGATCTGGTAGGAGGAGGAAATTGATGATGTATTTCATAAAATAATTGGTCATTTGACATTCAATAATTTTACAATTAGCTATGTAAAATTTAAAAAATTTGAAAGATTATACCAATGACCCTACGAGGAAAACTTCTTACTCTGGGAAATATGGAAGGTCACTCTGAATTTTTTTAGATATGTGCAAACGATAAACGATAAGTGGCAGAAAAATATAAGATTTTTTTATTGGCCAATTCCAAGTAGTTTAGCATAGAATAAATTTTAGGCAGAAGGAGAAATGGAGTTGACACGATAACGCTATCTTGCTATGATTCTCTATGATTTTAAAGTGAGATTAAATCAAGAAGAATGCATTCAACTTCTACAATTAACATATGGGAATGAAGATCCATCTCGTGTTAATGTATTCAGATGGTTTATAGAATTTCACAGATGTTGCAACTCTCTTCAGGATGCAGAACACACAGGAAGGCCATTGTCAACACTAATCCCAGATAATGTGTTCTGCCATACAGACAATGAATGACACAGAAGAAACTTAAAATTGGATCCACCACCAAAGATGAAATTATTAATGAAGAACTGCATATTAAAATAGTTTACCATTGGGTTTCCCCCTATTGAACTGATCACAAAAAAGAGGAGCATGTCAGAATCAGTAAAGAAAACCTTAAATTACTTAAAGATGGGGGCCTTTACATTATTCTTAAATTATAACTAGTGATGAAACATATGTACCATTTTTTGATGTTCCAACATATCAAGAAAGTAAAGTAAGATTATCCTATGCCAAAAGACAATGTGCCATTAAAAAAGTAATGCATCTAGTTTTTTCCTCCCCCTCCCCAGAAGTACAGGACTGGCCACAGTCATTAAGCTGCAAGGACAGAAGACAGTTTCAGCTAATTGGTACACCACTAAGTGTCTTCCAGAAATGCATCAAGCAGTAATTATTAGAGGACTCGTCCTTCAACATGACAATGCATCTTCTCATTCAGCAAGATCAACCATTGAGTTTCTTAGATAAAAACACATCAAAGTGATAGAACATCCACCCTATTTACCTAATCTAGCTCTGTGTGACTTTTGGCTATTTTTTAATCTAAAAAGGAATGTTGTTTTCATTCTGAAGAAGAGATTGAAGTCTATTAATGCATTTTTTCATCGATTCCAAGAACAAATGGCTTGAGGCATTTAATCATTGGAAAATTTGTCTACAGAAGTACATTGATGCTGGAGGAGACTACTTTCAACGAGGCATGTTCCTAGGCGTTAAAAACCTCTGCGTATCTAAAAAATTTTAGTGACCCTTGTACTTAAATAGAAATAAATTAAGAAAAATGTTACATTTAATTCATATCATGTGAGAATTAAAAGAATTAGTTGTATTAAATAACTGATTAAAAAATCCAGTTGTTATTAAACAGTTGCATTCTATATGTTAATTACTGTGTGTTTTGAAAACAAGAAAGCAAGTTTTGCTTTGGGATGGGAATATATTAAAACCTTTTAAAATTGTATGTAAGATATATTATTGTAATTGTCTCTTTCAGTAGCAGCACGAGAAAAGAGTTTGATTTTAGAATGAAATATGGTATTGGTAAATGTACATGTCATTATATTGAAAATTTAGAATTTTTTAACAAGTGTCAGTTCTTTCATCGTAATAGTGTTCTGTAGATTTTTTTTTTTTTTTTTTTTTTTTTTTTTTTTTTTTTTTTTTGATAGACTTTCAAAGATATCTAAATATAGAAAATGTGATTTTTATTTATATTTGCAGACTGAAATTACAATTACAGGCTGAGAGTGTCCTGTAAATGGGGACAGAGCCATGATGTGAATTAAATAAGACTGTACAGATAATTTGGAAAATTTAGCCTCATGGTGCAAATTAGTGATTAACAGTTATTCAGTTGCTTCTTGCTTAATTGAAACAGCAACTCTGGATTAAATGCATTTATAAAATTTAAAGATTAAATATGATCTGCCATTTATAATTAGGGGAAATAATAGGGAATAAATATAAAGGGATAACAAAAATATTAAAAAATGATTTCTTAACTGAATTTTTGTCAGCTGAATATACATTCGTTATATTAAGTAGTCATCTTCATGAAGTAGTTTTTAAGTTGAATTTCTGTTATACTGCATGTTTCTTGTTGGTTGCATCCAGGCATTTATGAAAGGTGGCTTGTAGCCTGAATTAATGTATGTTATTTCTTTGTTTCCACAGGCTACATTCAACACAGCACCCAGGGCAAAAATGCTGTCACTATTGGGTTATGATTATGAAAAAGTTACTGCTGAAGTAAGTCTGCTTATTAGATGTTTTGTTGCTTTATTTTCCGGAAATGCATATATTATTTAATAAATATTAAGCAACCAGTGTTCATGTGTATCAAATAATAGAAATAATTAAGGTGTAATATTGGGAGGAAATAATATCCCCAAAGAATAAGGTATTTCTAAATGTGCAGTTGTATTGTTTAAACTACTTCAAACTCTAGCTTAATAACTGAATTTTCAAACTACTTTTTCTTTTAAATATAAATGTTTTAACGTACATTAAAAGAGACTCATTGGAATAGGTCAGTCCCATTTTCGTTTCATTGATTGGATGGTTAAAATTTTTCAACAGTGTCAGTTTCATATAGTTTTTTTTTTTTTTTTTTTTTTTTTTTTTTTTTTTTTATTAGGAATAAATTTTTAAATTAGTGAACCAGAAATTTGAACATTTTATTTTAACCCTTTAACTGTCAAGTTATTTTGATGATTTGGGTACACAAATTGTCAAATTTTTTTATTGGAAAAACCAAATGTAGCCGAAATAAACATCTCCCGATATATATTTGGGTTTAAGTAATTTATTGTAGCTTCTTGTATCATTTTTCTTTGGATTTTTTAAGTTTTTCTGCATAAAATACTGAAATTAATGTTTTGGTTTTAATTTGTTTTCATGTTAAAAGATTTATTTTTGTAGGTTTTACTTTAAAATCAACTTTTTAAACTGTGCTAATAATAATTGCTAATTTTTTCAAAGTACATAATGATAGTAGTACTTTGAAACTACAGGAGGAACTACAGGATATCCATTTGACTCTAAAATATTCTTATCGATATTATTTAGAATTAACTAGTTCTTGGTTTATCTTTTCCTTTGATGGTATTCTGTTTTGATTTACTTGATATTGAGAATCATCAGTAAGCAAGTAGAAACTGTAGAGTGCTGTTAATTAGTTCCAAACTGATTTGGATTTTAGCAAATGAACTTATTGCAGTATAGATTCTTATAATTTTCCCAATATTTAATGCCATTTTCCTTTTGAAAATCTTCCATGAAGGTGCTTACCTCCTTCTATCAAATGCCTAGAGTATTTGATGTAGTCAACTGTCTCTCTTGTATTAAAATTATTTCCTCCATCTCAAATGTCAGATTCTTATTTGATTTATTTGCAAATAAAGCAGATTATTTTGTTGTTCCAAGTGGGCTGAAACAACCTTGGATTGGCATCAAGTTCAAGGACTAAATATATTTTAATGCAAGTGTACCACAATGCAGAATATCTTGATACTTTGGATAAGAGAGATCTCTTACTTTGATGCCTTCAAAATTAATAAAGCATCTCATAAAGCTAAGGCCAATCCTCAGATGATGGTTTGTAATTTTGCCCTCTTGATTTACTTTTATAAAACTTTTTTCCCTTAAACAATTTACATAATTTTACATTAGCGTAACCAAACCATTTACATTTCTCTTAAACCAATTACATGAGCTTTAAATATGTTTTAATTGCTTTCATCAAAGACGTTTAGTTGAAGTTCTTCATTGGCAATAAGCTATATTTATTACTTTTTATACTTTATTTTTGACTTCACTTAGAAATCCATGCAATAGGCAAAATTTTTAACTTATATTCAAAAGTATGTACCATTAAGGATAGTCAGAAAAGTCTGAACTATAGGGACAAATGCTGGTAATATGCTGCAAACTTGGAATTTTTATTTACTGCTTCTGTATTACTCACAGAAGGCTTCAAGTTTGGTGGAACTGTGAACAACGTGACTGTACTTAGCTGTGGTATGAACAGCATAACTCCTAGATTATTAGTTGGTGAAATGCATTAAGCAGTTTTTTATGTAATAATTATACATCATTGAATTTTCTATTGCAATGGTACATTCTTCTTTTACTTGAAACTCTTCTTCTTTAACAAATTATTGAGATACGTATTTGTCTCTCACATTGTTAAACTAAATAACTAAAATTTACTCTGATCTTTTCGTAAATATATTAATTGTTGTACTGTTTTGTGATGTTAAATATGATCAAAGTGGTGTCCTATACTAAATCACAATATTTGGTACTCTGTTAACGGGACCATATTCAGAAATGTATGTATGTATGGATGTGTTCATGTATGCATGTATATATATGAAAACATTAACAAATAATCATATATAAGTAAGGATTATTAAGAATCCTGCACCTAGGCTGCAATAATTTAAACATACAAAGGAGAGTACTCCTATTAAAATTCTTATATTTCAAATTAAATTTAGGAAGCTAATAAAGTAAAAAAATTACAATTTGAAGTTTAAATAAATTCCAATTTACAAATTCATAAATTTTAAGTAATATTAAAAAATTTTTAAGTTTACAAAAAAATTTTAATAAAAAAAATTTACGAGTATTAAAAAGTAAAAGTTAAATTGGCATGTAAAAATTGCTTTACCAGCAATACATAATAAATATAATTTAAAGATTTTTAAATTTTTAAAATTTTTAAATATTATTTATTTTTTTAATATTACTGTAAAATGGGTTACAAATTCATAAATTTTATATTTTAATAAATTATAAAATTTATGAATTTGTAAATTGAAATTTATTTAAACTTCAAATTGTAATTCAGCTACTTTATTAGTTTTCTTAATTTAACTTGAAATACAAGAATTTTAAAGGGTATATATTACCCTTTAATTATAATTATTTTTATATACTATATGTGTAGGTACTGTGTATTTGTATCCACACATGCATATACCATCTGTACATATATTAACATGTGCATACTTGCACACTTTTTTTATTTCGTTCCCGATAACAGAAGAGTACCCAATATTCTTTGGTACATTTTACGAGTTGGTTTATATTTAATTTTATAATGCGATTTCATAACATCATGTGTTCCAGATCAGCACTGCTTTGAAAGGTAAAAGTTCATTGTTGGATAGCCCAGAATTAAATGAACAGATGTCAAATTTAAGCACAGTAAGTGAATTAATTTAATTATTTTTTACAGTCGATTTATTTAAATTTTTATTCTGTTTTTAATTATGTTTATTTCTATTGGTGGAGTATTAAATACAAAAATACTGTAAATGCAGAAATATAAATGAACATTTTTACTTGGAAATATTGCATTCTGTTAAATAGATTTTATACATATAGATTTAAAATTTGATGATATTGGTTAGTGTATATTTCTAATATTGACTAATGAATTTATTATTAGCCAAATACTATATTTTTTTAATTAATGCTGTATGTTAATTTTTCATTCTGAAGTATAGCTAATGATCATTTGCAACTTGATATGAAGGGGAAATTCTTTATCTTCTGTAAATAAAAGTAATTTTAATACTATTTTACTGTTTTAATGATTAGCTGGCAGATTCATTTATATGTAAAATGTTACTATATTTTTACCTTTTGTGTTTACAAAGATGACTTATGACATGTAATATGTTAGAGTAATATATATTATTTTATTGTTATTTGATCTGTTGAGGGCATTATTGTTCAAAGTTATGGAAAGTAGCTGTTGTACTATAAATAGAATTCTGGTGTTATAATGATTTACCTTTGTCCAGGAAAGTAAAACCACAGAACACTGATAATTTGCCCTGGCGTAAATTATCAGCAATTAATGGGCTTGTTTGCTTGATGATTTTACTTGATAGCTTCTGTGAAGTTATTCTTTTGAATGCAGATTGTCCTCCAATATTTTGCCATACAGAAAAGCTTTATTTAGCATAAATCGAGCAATATACGAGCTGTTTCAAATGTGTTTTTATAATTTTCCGTAGGTATAATATAAATAAAACCAACTGTTCTTTAGAAATTCCCCTGTAAAAATATCCTTCTAATAAGAAGATCCTTTAGACTGTTTTTTGGCATAATTAATCTGATTTATTATTCAAAAGTTATTCAAATATGAAAGGGGTTATGATTTGAAAACTTTTTTGGAAACTACTCATACAACTTCACCGCTTCATTTTTTAAATTTTGAGAAATACTGATAGATTGCTTAAAATCATCATTTCTGTGGCATGGTTGCTATTTTCTATTTTTTAGTTATGAAGAACAAAAACAAATTTCTTTTAAGTTATTCTTGATTGAAGAAATCCTTATTCGTTATAAACAGAAAAAAATGTAATAAAGAGCATTTAAAAAGCAAAACTGTTTAATTTTTATATGGTAACAGAATTATGAAATGAGTGATAAATATTTTTCGAGAGAAATGTATTTGAAGACTAAAGTAAGAATGCTATAGTAATAGTTATTGTGAGAATTTGCAAATGCTAGTAATATTTGTTGTGGAAGTAATGTTTTATTTTTGAACTTGAGTAGACATTTAAGAAATGAAATATACATACGTTTTAATTATGAAATATACATATGTTTTAATTATGAAATATACATACATTTTTATTATGAAATATGCATATTTTTTATTTATTAAGCAAAGTTTTTTTTAGTTTAAGAAAAAGTTATTTACTACCTACTCAATTGAAGAACCAAAATGTAATTTAAGGTTGCTAACTAACTAGAGGGGGGAGAACTTTTAAGTGCAATATGCCAAAAATTGACTTAGTTATAAAATACCATGCTTGTCTTAATGTAATATAACTTAACATGTTATATTTTAATATGTTTTAGAAGGGAACATTTTTTTGAGTTCATAAAATATTTGAAATATATAGCTGCCTATGAAAAATGAAATCCAAATTTTCATAATGAAGCTGAAATCAGTAACTGAAAGATACAACTCAGGATTCGTAGCGGTCCTTATAAGTGCTTATAAGTCCTTATATTTGAAAATAAAATATAATAAGGCCCTTATAGGTGCTTACTTTTTCTTTAAAGCCCTTATTTTTTTGTTTTTAGTGCTTATTTTTTGCTTTTAGTGCTTTTTTTTTTTTAATGAACGCGCTTTTTTTCCCGGTATCAAAGCCGAAACTAAATAAACAACATTTCTTCCTAATATGGAATGTCAGATGGTGAATCATACTCCCGGAAATAGCTTTTTCCCCTTTCTCTGCATTAACATAACCTTTGGTGTGCAAGAAGAGTACAGACAGGTGCCCGTCGTTGTATTGGTCAAAAAATTGCAAAAGCATTAGAAAATTCCGGTACATTCGGCATTCTTTTCCTCCCACCCAAATACTACACTCGTTTGAATTTCTATCAAGATCTTTATAATTTGCATTCTCGTTCCGCTTGGTCAGTTCATATTCGTGTTTATTATGATCGTTATGCTTATATTATGAGCATATGTATGAATCTTTATAATAACATAGTTGCAGTTACTGCTGAAGTATAATTAACTTCCAAAAATGGTTGTGTTTTAACACAGATTAGCTTTCTAAGGAATAATATTCAAAATGGCTTAAATAAAGGGAAAGTAATCGAATAGTCAAAATAATTTCTTTTTTTTGGCCAATGCATTATACAGTACAAAGATTGGGAGGTTCTCCCCTTTCTCTGCAAAATCTCGTATATTGAAACCATTGCAGTTCGCTGCAAAACAAGCAACGGACTTTTTTTTTTTTTTTTGTGTGTGTGTGTCGCTTTCCAATCTGAATTGAATAGGATTAAAAGTTTTGCGGTCTACCAACACAAGCGAAGAATGATTCTATTCCGGAAATTTAGCGCCGTCTGTTGAAAATTAGAATTAAAAACACCCCAGTTATTTAGTTCTTTATTCTCCCAATACCGGCAGCTGTTGATTCCGATTGCGTAATGTCGCACAGGGAAGAATTACGGGGGCACGTATTGCGCAATAACGTTTGCAATATTTTGCAGAGATAATTAATTTTGATATTCTGTTCGAGATTTGTTCATGAACACTTAAGAGTTTTACCGTGCTTGCTAAGCAGAATGTTTTTCAGTTCCATTAGTTTATTTTTATATGATACACATATTGAAATGTCAAAAGCATTTATTTCGCGGAAAAATCTAAAGAGCGACTTCAGTCTATCCCTCCGCTCCTCTTTTTCAAGTTACGCTCGACTGTCCGAATATTCGCCAATTTCAAAGTATGCGGGTTAGTTAAGCTTTCACTGTTAAAGGATAATTGCATGAAGCAAATTTTTGTCTTCTGATTTCAGAAATGTTCCTCTTTTTTACTTAAATTACTTTGCTTGCAATATCTGTTAAGGGAAAACTGATATACAATGAAAATTTTTTAAATTATTTAAATGTCAATATGAGTGGAAAAATAAATTGTATTTATTATTAGGTTCCAAGCGAATACAATAAATATACCTTATTATTATTTATTTTCTCTATTTTGAACTGAAATTTCATCATTATATCTTGTAATATAGTTTAGTTCTGCATAGTTTTTTTTTCTCTCATTGTGAACTAGTTCTGTAAATTGAACTGTTATTTAAAATTTAAAAAAAAGTAATTATTTTCCATGGTTGAGGTAATGCTTATTCTCTTAATAAATACTGCATTTCTTATATTTTAAATTACAAGTCTAATTTTTAAGGTTATGCAGTTGTGTTTATTGTAATTAGACAGGTGCTTATTTTTTTTCTTAAAATGTACTTGAAAAGTGCTTATAAGTGCTTATTTTTTTTCACTAAAACGTGGCTATGAACCCTAACTAAATTTTCAATATGTAAAATGACACTGCAACAAAAACCCAACAAGCCAACTCTTTTAGTCAAACTCATAAACCTTATTATATACTAAGCATAAGAGAAAACAAATTAATTACAGTTTTGGCTTGGGAAAACATTTGCTATATTTAATGAGAACAAATTTTATAATAAGGAATTGATGGTGTAACAAAATATTTATTTTTGTGAAGATATCTGTTAATCTGATTATAGGAAAAACTGCATAACTTATAATTTAACTTTATGCAGTCTTTATTTTTATGGGCTGCTGATATGTTTTGTTGTAATTTATTCAGAAATTATATTTCCCATTCTTAATTACTTTTAAGGTAGATGCTGGATTTGTTGGTGACAGTTCTGCTGCATTTGATAGTATTGCGATGCAAGCAAAAGATGATGAAGAACCTCTAGTCATTCAAACTGATTCAAGTAAGTAAAGTTAATTTTCATACATATTAAGATCTTCCCATACATATTAAGCTCATGGCATTAAAAAATTATTTGACATGACAAAATTCATAAAGAGAAAAGGCTTCCTTTGCTGAAGTTTAACATATTGCATTTATCAACATAGTTCAGTTGTTTAATAAATGGCTATGTTTATGAAAATGTAAGTGGGATGCAAGTAAAATTGCTTTCAAATATTAAATTTGACAATGTCATAGATTTTTTGTGAGCAACGAAATATATGTTATAAAATTACTATTTACATAAACTCATTTATTGTGTGGCAAAAATATGTGTGTTTTTTGTACATAGTAATTGTATAGTTGTAATATCACGCACAATATTTGCTGCTCTTTTAAGTTTTGCAAATTCTTTCCAATTTAATACAGTATTAGCATCTGAGCTAATGCAGTGAAGTACCTCTCTTTTTTCCCTTACACCTCACTACTTTGGACTTATTTAATTCTCTGAAATGCTATTTAAATGTTAGGCTACTTATATTTCATTGTCTGGGATAGGGTTTCGACCCAGGAACCTGTTTCTCGTGGCCTGTGGCCGCCTAACAGTACCTATTTTTTATGTTTAAACAAATGTTACAAACAGCGGCAAGTTAAGATTTTTGGGACGTTCCATATTGTAAAAGAAAATTTATCTTGGAAACAATTCCTTTACATCCTTAGTTTTAATTTTTGCTCTTAAGTCATCTCTGTGTGTTTTCATGAAACAAATAATTTTATTATAGCTTATGTATTCTTGAGTATGATACTTTGGTTAAGTTAAAATCTCCTACTGGAGATGTGTTTTTTTTTCCTATATTGGTACTCGTAACTTAATATAATGTTTCTTAATAAATTTTATATGTGATGCTTGAGTTCTTTTTCAGAAAACGTAAGTATAATTTTTTTTTTTTATTTTTATTTTCTATTCATTAAAAATTTAATATCAACTTCATTATGATTTTTTTTCTTTATAAGATTTAGCTTTCTTTGTAACATGCAATGTGACTAAATCTAAATATCAAACCTGGCAACTTCTCACAGAGTCATGCAGATGAACACAGCAGGAAAGGGGGTAAAAACTGTACAACAGAAGGCACAGTCTTGCGTGCTTACACAAAAAACACAGCCCACTTGCAGTGAGAACTTGACAGTAATTTAATAATAAATTTAGCAGGAGGTAGTGCTAGACTATACAATTGAATTTAATGTAACAGGCTGACTTGGAAACCTAAACCGCCAATATTCTAATTAGATGGCCAGAATGTATAGCCGCTACTAAGAATAATAGCTGGAGGACAAAATAGCAAATGTGTGCTTCGCTTGTGAAATCATGCTCTGTCTGACCTTTCCTTTTCAGCAGTTCAAATACTCTCCTTCACCTATTTAATTGGATCCTGGGGAGGATATGCGAGGGGAAATAAGAGAATTAAAAAATTAGTTAACTGTTAGTACAACTAAACAGGACCCTATAGCGTGAGCTTTTTCCAAGAAAATAGTCGTTGATGCTTGAGTAATTGTACAGTAAGCAATTTATGATTGCCTTATGTCCTGTGCAATTTAATGAAATATTTTTAAATTATTTACATATCTGAAGACATGGAAGGGAACTAGGTAGCTTGTCCATTAATAACTGAAGTTTTTTTTTTTAATTTATAAGCATTTAAATGGGAATGATACAATGTTGCTTTTCATTAGAAAATTAATTTTGCAGATGTGATACCCTTAAAGTAACGGTGTGATGAAAAAAATATGAATAAAAAAAGTAATTATTCAATATTATGAAATTTAAAATGAAATAAAGTTGCTATCATTTGCAACAGGACAAATACAGCTTTTATATTTAAAAAGTTAGAAAAATGTCTAGATAAGCTGACAGCATTTAATGGGTATTCTTATAGCCGGGGAGTTACTGTTGAGAACTCTTGAATTTCTTCAGTTTTAATATTGATAAATTGTTACATAACATACTCACTGTATCTTTTGGCTGTCATTCTACTCTGACCATAATTTTTAAAAAAATGATGCAGTCCTGTCTCACATCTGTATAAACACTGGAAAGAGGAATAATACATCTTAAAAAACTACTAAACCACTGCAGAGTAAATCAGTTATTGTAGGACACTTGGTGTTTAAAGTTGAAAAAGCTGAAGTGAGAAAATGATTGTGAATAGCATAGGCTTATTCTCGGAGTTACATTTTTATGTTAGAATAAACAAACTAAGTACAGTAAAGTAGTTTGAGACAAATTATTGTGCTTTTTAAATATTTGTAAATATGATAGATTTACATTTTATACATATGGAGGAGAAGAGGAACAGATAGTTAAAAAGAACGTTTCTATGTTTTACAGAAAAAGTATAAACAGTTTATATTTCTTTTTTGGGGGGGGGGCTTGATAGAAGTAAAGCAAGAGTGGATATTATGTTTGTCATAAGGTGGAGTTGTTAGCATGTATTTGGAAGAAATCCACATTTACAAGTCTATTATTTTATCCTATTAAAAATACCATGCTTTCTACCTTAGTTTTTATTTATTATTTTACTTATTTTTATTTATTATCTTGCTTAGGGTTTGTGTAAAATTTTATTTTGCTTTGCATTCATTTATTTAACATTTGTATTCATTTACAGTGATAGAAACATCTGAAATCAGTAAGTACATTAGTTTAAGAGTTTAAATATATTATATTTTTTATTTATTTAAAAAAAAAAAAAAACATTTTTCCTGAATATATTTTTTAAAGTTTTATTTAGTTTCAATGTTTTATCCCTTTGTTTTTTCAGTTTGAAATGAGTTGCTATTAATCTGCATAGTCTAACATTAAACTTAGTTTTGATACCAGATATAGTGTCAAAATAATATTTTTCAAGTAAGACACCAAAATGCCTTTTAGGATAAGGTTGTAAATAATTCTACTTTGAGATTAAAGTATTGAGTCTTTTGAATATTTTTACTTGGAGATCTTATAGTGGTAGAGTGAAAGTATTTAGAGATAACTAATGTATTTTGGTGATTGAACAACCAACTGTATTCATACTGGGAAAGCGATTGATACATTGCCTTTTAAGGCATGAAAATACTTTTGGTCATGTGCAGTTTTTGGACTTGTATAGATTGCTGTGTTTTATACAGCTACTTAGTGAGATTGGCTGGCAAGGAGAGATTTTGGTTAGTGTTTTACACTGAGAGCTCTTCAGGATTAAGTGTATTGACGTGTTATGTAAGTAGTTGTTATTGCTATGTAAAGAGTTGATGATAACTTTAAAATTGCATCTTTGGGCCAACTAAGTGTGCCCGCACATTTGAGTCACAACTAACTAATGCAGTGCAATGATCAGTTACCACCTGGGGGCTCTCAGCAGTGTTCATAATACTGATTGAATCATGATATATATTTTTGTTTTCTAGTGTGGGCAAATGCTGGAATAGAAGGTTTTTTGTGGCACTGCAAACCAGTGTTTACACTGAGAAATAAATCAGTTAGCCTTTGTGCCATGTAGCATTACTATGAGATGGTGGCCACAGATTATGAAACCTAACTAATGAACCAAACACAGCATAAAATCAAATTTGTTTTCAATGTTCAGTTCTTATTTCTGTTTCTCTTTCATCAATTAGTTGCGAAATATTTCTTTTAAGAGACTTGCAACCTGATGCAATAAATGCAACCTGATTGACCAGTATAATGATAATATATTCAAATAAAATATTCATATATTATAAATTTTTAAATTCTTAAAACCTTAAAATTTCATGCCTTGTTTCTCAGTCAGTGTTCATATTGATGAGACATCTCAACTTGCAGATAATGATAAAAAACTTCATTATAGGTATGTTATGAAAGGTGAAGTAAATTATATTGTGTGTAACTTTATTTAAAAAGCTGTGAAAACAAAAAGTAAGCTTGCAAAAATGAGAGTGAGTGAGTCGTACTTTCGAATAAAGTATGTGCATCACGGCGTTAACAAAATTCAAGACCTAAAATTTGGTGATCTTCATGCTTTTATTGAATATTTTTTAATTAAATGGGAGTTTTTGATTTTTTGTTAAAAATTAGACTTAGTGTATAAAGATATTAAAAGATATCTGCTTAAAACTTAAAAAAAAAAAAAATAAATAAAAATTTTTCTTTTATGATACTGTTTACTGCACTGAAATTTTATTTCATTTATGTTCATTTTTAAGTGTATTTGTCACTCACCAATTTATTGTTATAGAAAACGAGTATCAATTTAATCATTATTACCAGCATTTCATCATGTTTGCCATTATTTCTTTTATGTCTATGAATCTCAGCATCATAAGGGTAAGGAACAGGCAGAAATCGTACAAGGCTACCTATATATCTAGTGTGATTTATGTTTTGGAAACATTTTTTTAATTTATTAATTTTTTTTAATTATTATTTCCAATGGAGGACACTAGTTGTTAAAGGTATTGCCCACTACTAAGACCAAAAGCGGTAGTCACTTTATTATGAAGCACCTAATAGGTTGGCCACTGTTGCTTCCTATGAGGGGACAGATCATTTACATCCATGCCTTCTCTGGGACTTGAACCCAGGCCCTTTGGTACAGCAATCAGACTCTCTAACCACTTTCCCATCTGGGTGGCAATTTTTTATGTATTCAATGAAAAATAAAGAACTCTTAAATCTTCTTAAGGACATTCTTGGTTGATCAAAAACAAAAGAATTAACTACTACAAATCCTGAAACATTAAATGTGTAAAACATCTATGTATATAACCCTGAATGGAACTAGTTTTAAATAACTTTTAATAATTTGCATCAGTAAATCTCAATAATTACTGCCATCTACTCATAAAGATCTGAAATTAAGATGTTTTACATGATATTGGTAAATGTAATGATTGTAGGTAAATTTTAAAATTGACAAACCTCCAGGCTTCTATTACAAAAGAGGTGATGAGAAATTTGCATAATATTTAGTGTTTTATATTTTTATTTTCAAGGACCAAAATTAGTGGGAAGATTTTTGCTTCCTTATTTTAGTAATAATGAACTGTAATGTGAATAAATTTTGTTAATTAAAATTCTGTTTGTAACAAAATGTTTATTTTACCTTTATTGTTAAATACAAGTAACTAAAAATTGTTTATTATATCTTATTTTAAGGCACAGGTAAGAAATGTTTAATTTTTCTTTCCAGATTTTGTTTTCATATATATATCGGGTCAGTCCATAAGTTCGTGCACATTAAGAGTATGCGCGGAATTCACTATGACGCATTTATTAAAACAATAGAATTTTGAACCTGTTGAAACTTATCATCGTTTAACTAACATATTATTCAGTTCATCACCAACTTTCGTAAATATCGAACACGTTTTAGTACCCATAGAAGATGAATATAGATAATGCTGTGCTACATTTTTTATTTTCATGTTGTGAATCTGCCAGGTTTGCAGCAATAAAAATTAATAGTGTACATGGTGTAAGGACTGCCCAGAAATGCTTTTAAAAATTTAAAGTTGGAAAAAGCAGCATTGATGATTAGAACCAAATCAAACGATTCATTAAGAAGTTTATAGTGAACAACTTGCCATCTAAACTCATAATTGATCAAAATACACTCACGATTGGTGAATATCAAGGAAGTGTTGTTTCATCATGATAACGCTAGACTGCATATGGCTCGAACAACTGGAAAAAAAAAATTAGCTGCTTAATTGGGAGCTGTAAAAAAATGAGTGAATTTAATTGGGAGCTTTTGCCACATCCTGCTTACTTCCCAGATATTGCCCCAAGTGATTTTCACTTATTTCGCGCCTTACAAAATTTTTTATTGGGAAAAAAATTAAATTTTAAACAGGATGTACACAATGAACTTTCAAGTTTTTTTGCATCAAAACCAGAGTCTTTCTACAGCAATGGCATAAAAAAGCTGCCTGTAAGATGGCAAGACATTGTAGATAATGAAGGAAAATATATAATTGATTAAAATGTTAAATTGTGTCTTTTATATTTAAAAATTTACCAAAAAATGTGCACAAATTTATGGACTGACCCAATACATACACTGAAGAGCCAAAGCATTATGATCACCTACTCAATAACACATAGCGCAATCTTTGGCCTGCAAAACAGATGCAGCTTGCCTTGGCATGGATGCCACAAGTTCTTGGTAGATAACTGGAGACTGTACCAATGTACCAAATGTCTAAGCAGCAGTCACGGAAAGTCAAGATATTCCTACTTGGTGGTGTTTGAGCTCCGAACTGCTGCTTCATGACATGCAAGATGTGCTCTATCAAGCTTAAGTTCTGGCTAGTTAGGTGGCTAGGAGAGTAATTGGAATTCATCCTTATGCTCCTTGATTCACTTCAACACAATTCAAACCTTGTGAGTTAGGGCATTTTGCTGCTGGAAGATTCCATTGCCAGTTGAGGAGCCCACCAGCAACGAAGTGGTAAAGTGACTGAACACTGGTAGTTCGGTCCAAGTTTCAAATCCCAGGAATGAGTCGGTTACATGAGCATTTTCATGGTTTTCCCATGTGAAACCTGTATACGAACCAGTTTCCCTTAGAAAGTCCTTCACAAAGGTATATCCCTTTCCTTAGGCAGATAGCCCTTGAGGCTTTGCCATAATCACCTAAACCAAAACAAATCATTTTCAGTTGGGAAGACAGATGCCATCTAAAGGTCCAATTGATCCACAGTTATGTTCAGATAGTCTTCAGCTTTCATGGTCTATTCTACCACAACTAAGGATCTCAGAGCTGCCCATGAAAACATTCCGCAAAGCATAATACTGCCACCACCAGCCTGTGTATGACCTGCTGTATAGGGTAGGAGCAATTGTTCAGCTAGAAAATAATATGACACAACCATCAATGTGATGAATGAGAAATTGTGATTCACTGAACCAGGCAACTGTCTTCCACTTATCCATGGTGCAGTCTCTATGTTCCCGAGCCCACTGGAGGCGTGATTGACAATGACGCTTGGTCAGCAGAAGCACATGAGTGGGACATCTGCTGTGCAGTCCCATATCCAACAGTGACTGTTGAACTGTGTGTTCTGAAACACTTGCACTCAGACCTGCATTGTATTGGGCTGTCAGCTGAGCCATTGCCTGGTACCAGTTTTGCTGTACCAAGCGGGACAATCTCATACGTCCTTTTTCTTTAATGATGCATGGACATCCAACACTTTGGTGTCTACTGCTAATTTCACCATCATTTATCCACTTTGCATAATACTAACAATAGTAGATCATTAACAGCCTATCAGTGGTGCAGTTTCGGAGATACTTGTTCAGAGTCTTCTGGCTATTACAACCTGCCCTCTATCAAATTCGCTTAGCAGTCTTTCTCATCACTTCCAAAAGTAAGTGCAAGAATGATTCCTTACCTTTTCCAGCTGCAGTTAAATATTATTCCCACTTAATTACATGCTTACATGTCATCCAGACCAGTGCATTGAAAAATATGGGGAGGGTCATAATGTTTTGGGTTATCAGTGTTACTTAGTTAAATTTTAGATTTCAGAATCAAAATGCATAGGTACTGGCTTATTCAAAAATACAGTAAGGCAAAATCAGAAAATAAAATTATCAGATTTTAAATAATTATTAGGAAGATGTCTATATGTTTTTCTGTTCTACTAATGACTAAGAACTACAATTATGAAAAAAAAAATCTTTTAAGCAAAGTATAATGTTCTGCAAAATAAATTCATTTGAAATATATATGTTTTTTTAAAGCATGTTCACATTCACTCATAATATAGTATCTGGATTTAAATAGATCTTGTTGGAGTAATGTTAAGAGAATCTTGCTGTTACAAATAAAAAAATATATTGACATATAAAGGAATTTGCACATGCAATGCATTTCTAATGACTTTATAGCTTATCATAAATTAAATGTTTGCTTTTGTCATTGATTGCAAGTGGATGAGTATTTTAAAGTTTGTACTATGTGTTTTTATTAATGTTCAATTTGTCATGTGACCTTATTAGTATTTGGAATTGTGTATGTAATCGGGTATTTTTATTCTTTCAAGGTGAAGTTGATGGTCTTATATCCCAAGCCTTGTTGACTGGAAATATTGCATCTGCTGTTGAAATTTGTATTGAAGATAATAGGTGGGCTGATGCTTTAGTTTTGGCACAAGCTGGTGGCCCTGACATTTTACAGAAAACCCAAAGATTATATTTTAAATCTGTCAGCACTAATTCATCAAAAGTGAGATTTAATTATTAACTCTAAATGCTATTAAAAGCATCTGATTGTGTAATGGAATTTTAAAATTATATGTGCTGTTCTATTGTAAATGAGAATGATAATGGAAGTTGAGATTTTGCAGACAGAGGAATCGTGAATAATATGTGCTTTCAAAAATTCATTGAACTTTTTAATGTATTTATTTAACTGTAAAAAGATATTCCATATTGATTTTCCAAATCCTCTAATGTGTGGGTTTGGTTCTTTGTTTGGAACAGGCATGTCAAATGCAGTTATCTCAACTAGGCCAAATAACCATCAGTGTATAATAGTGTGGGCCACAAGAAGACCAAAAAGTCATTTTCATTTTTGATGATAAGTTGGTTGCAGGAAAAGATGCTAAGTGCCCAGACAGGAAGGATACTAGGTGTTCAGACAGGAAGATGATAGGTGTTCATCAGATGTTTAGAAACAAGCTACTCAGACTAGTGATTTTAAAAGCAGAGGTCAGATGAATGAGTGTTGACTGGTTCTCCATAAAGACTCGTTCCTTTTTGTAAGTGATAAAAGTTGTTCTTGCTGATATGCACTACCAGACTCAGAAATGTATGATGCGAATTACCGGTTATCTGGGAACTATGCAGGCAAGTAATTCCATCTGTAAATATGCTGACAATTTCTCACTGTCACTTGAATAAAAGGCAGAAAACAGTGAGCTCATCTTCTATAAATAGGATATTCAACACCTTTCTTCAGATTCAGTTTTCAAATGTTGAAGCTTTTTTGGCATACATTCGTACAAAACAGGTTCTTTGTTATGTTTTTATAATGCCTGCTTCTTGATATTTTCTGAAAGTGTGTTGAGAACCAATATGGCTCGGCTCATGGACATGCCTGGTCTAAAAGTTCTTGTAATTCATTGCTGTCAATCTTTCAGTTTTAATACATAAATTTTGCAATTAATGTCCGTTTTATCACCGCCAAGCTTTTTAAGCCATTTTTCATAAAAATTGAGGGAATGCAACATTTTTAGCATAGGTTTTAGAAATGCCCCCCCTGCAACACAGTAGTCTTTTTTCCATTAAACAAATAAACAAAAAATGCATACTGAGAGTTAGATGGACTTTATTAGATTGCTCTTTTACTTGTGATAAAAAGTTAAAAATATTTTATTTCAAAGGGGCTTTGCCCTGAAGGACTGTTGTTTTCATTTTGCAATTTTGCATTAGTTCACTATAAATGTCCGTTTCACTTTTCAAACTGTTGCCACCAAATGTTAGAGTCCTCCATTATATTTGAAGAAATTAAATAATGAAAATTTTGCATAAATCTATGCTCAGTTTAAAACTATTTTGCGATATTGCTGTTGAACTGAATTTTAGGGTTTAAGTGCGAAGAACGTGATGTTTAATAAATAAAGGCAACAGACAAAATGTTAAAAAAAGCCCCTTTGGACATAATTTTAAATCTGAAACCTTCCAGAATTTTTTTATTGGGAAAAAAAACAGCACTTTTATGAAAAACAGAAATATCAGTTTGCACTGATTTTTTTTACTTGTTTGCAATATTTTGCATGCAGTTAATATTCAACATTATGAACAACACGAAAAAAAGCGTCTCTTTCTCCCTAGAAATGTATCTATCAAATCATAAAAGTGAAGCAACAATTAGTGTTACTGTAGATTTTTAACATAGAAACTCTATCGATTTGGAGGGTGAACAAAGTTCCTCTTCATCAGGAGCAAAGAAATCTGCAACTGAAAAAACAAAGCTACAAATAGATTTATACCTTAAGGAAGTTGAGAGAGTAGCGCCATCCATTAGTAGAAATAATAACGAAAATTTAAAAATTAGGATAATAGAGGTTTAAAAGCATTGGGTAGGACTGAAATCACATTCACAAAAAATTTAGTGTGTTTAGTTAATGATTTTAATCCAATCCTTCCTAACACTTTTAAATCTGTATTATCCTAATTTTTCAATTTTCTTTATTATTTCTACTAACAGACGGCGCTACTCTATCGTCTCTCTCGACTTCTTTGGGGTATAAATATGTTTGTAACTTTATTTTTCAGTTGCAGATTTCTTTGCTACTGATGAAGAGAGGTTTTTTTTGCCCTTGAAATCAATATTTTCCCATCTAAAAATATATTCTTAACACAGATTGCTGCTTCTCTTTCATGGTTTATTTGAGGTGTGTTTAAAATTGATAGATATAGACAGAAGTCTATATCTATCAATTTTTTATGACCAGGGAAATGTAATTTTCTATCCACCTCATGGTAGAAGTATTCTGCAGAAAAATTTAGTGTGTATGTAAACACAGTTCTGTAGTATGTTTATGAATTAAACATTGTTATAGAAAGTGTCCTTGAATAAAGTGTTTATGTAAACACATTTTATTCATCTACCTTGAAATCTATTCCCCATGTAATAAACTAAGTCTCAAGTTGGATAAAAGTATAAAAAACAAGAAGAACATGATTTATAATAACAATACATATTCTATAAAACATAATTAAAAGAAAAAGTCCTACGGAGCGCTTAATTTTGTCACGTCTTCGCCTTTTGTAATGATCTGCTAATTTTCACCCGCAGATCGTTTAAAAAACTGTCAAGGATGTTTGTTTCTTCCTACCTGTCAGGTATTGCGAATCGAGTTAGGCAATTCGTTGACAACTCCGATTTAGGATTAGTTGAACTTTTCGCGGTCATTTTTATCCACGAACTCTAGACTTATCCCACTTTCTCAGATCTGTTTTATATTCTTGTAGGGATAACCTCCTCCATCTTTGGCTCCTCTTCAAAACTAATTTTTCGTTGAACCAACGTAGCTGCTGCAAATGCAGATCGTGAATCCTCGTTGTCAGCTCTGAGATGTTCCTCTACAGTTCTTTTGCATCTCTCTCCCACCTCCGGCCATGGATTTTCCCAAGAACAAGCTCCTTACACTGACAATTGGGTTCCATCCTTCGAATCTCTTTCAGCTACCCCTCAGCCACAGCTCTTCCATGCAGACGTTGTAACACCCAGCCGGCCTGACAATAATCTTAGCACATCACGATGTTAAAGTGGTTTTTCCAGACCTCTCGATGTAAGGTTTGTGTATCTGTCACCTCAAGAGCGGCGGAAAATTGTGGTGTACGAATTCTTAAAATTAGAAATCTACATTGTGATCCATGCTGCAGGATGGGTGGTGTTGGGTGGTACGTAGGGAAATTTATTACTTGAACTCTTCGAGTATCATCTCGAGATTTGATGGGTGAGAGGGGAATTGTCGAGGCACACCAGAACAGACACCAGAATATCCACTCCACAAAGAAGTTTCATCGTCCCACCTTCGGATTGCCCTCACATATCTCTCAAATTATAACTGGCAGGTTTTCTTTAAAATATTATATGACTTAAAGCCTCTGGGGTTTTCCGAATTGTGTACTAGCGGAGGCTGATTTTACATCGCATCGCACTGCCGCAATTGCTAGATTTATCGATCCTTAATGGTTTGACCTGGCATCGTTGCTCTGCCGATGTAATTCTATCGGCATCCTTCCAAAAGCCCTGTCTCGTCACAGTGAGGACTTGTGGGGGATTATGTTTGGCTACTATCTGTCGGAAAACATTTTGATGTAATCATCAGCTGCCTTACATCCGGATTGCTGCTACCATGCCTGAGACGGAGTGAAGGTCGTCCTTTCCCTAAGTTGCAACCAGCCACGACTGGCTTTCAAACGGTCTGCGATTGCACTTTGTGAAGTGTGTGGGATCTTCTTTAGAAATAACTAAATCGCTCGTAAATACTCGTATAGTGCCTCTCACATATGAGGCTTTGTTAAGTTTCTCTGAAAGCGTTCTCTCTCACTCACACCTCAGTGTTTTCTGCATGTTGACGAGAGAGGTCGGAGCTTAAAAGTATGTAACGCTTAGTTGGCGTTATACTTATCAACCCTGTTCAAGCACAGTAAATTTATGATGTGTTCGCCCCGTACATCCTCCCAAGTCAATTACTCGCAAACTTGCTCATGGTTTCATTATTAAACGCTTTCATTCAATAGCCATCACCATCTTCTTTGGACCCGGGTTATAAAAATAAATTGATAATTTTTCTCAATGTACAAAAAGCAAAAAACGCGAACCCACTTACCAAAATGCTTCCAAACGAGGACACCACTATGAGAAAACAAAGTAACAAGTGTTTAATATTCAACAACTTATTTCTTTCACAGAATTTAACATAATTTTTTTCTAATGACTTAGAAATGAAAATTTCAATATTGCACTGATGTGTTTTCACTATACAACAAATAAACAGTTCAGATTCTATCACACCAATTTATAGCGAAACGTTAAACATAAATACACTGAAGTGCTGTTTATTTACGGGAATGGATTTTTCCCATTATCATACAAAAGAAAAATATCTCGTTAGATATAAATGCACACTTTGATTGTTTTAAAAACTCGTATGCACTGACGTGCTATAAAATGCACTGATGTGCTCCGTGTTAATGGGAAAATGTTTTTCCGAATATACCACCAAAAGGAAAATATCTTGTTAGATTACTATAAACCAAACACAGTGAGTGTTTAAAACTCGTATGCACTGATGTGCTACTTCTGCTTTGGGAATTGATTTCCCGAATAAGTAATAAATAACTACATTATACACTTCAGGCCTGGAAATGAATATTGTGGAGAACACATACCTGGTCTCTTGTCACACAAATCTCGGTTGGAACCTCCAATTTTTTATTTTCTTTTGTCTGTGACGTCGTGGATGCTTCAGTGGGAACGGAATCAACACTGGTATTGGTGATGCATCACTTTTTAATCACACAACATATCACAGATACAACATTAATACATTTAAAAAAACTTTAGTAGATATCCGAGCTGGTGACACGATCAGAGACGTTAACGAAGATGGTACTCGTCATCACTCGAAGAACAAAGTCTCCACACCTCAGCTCGCTGGCGGAGCTTCCCCAAAACTCCTCTCCTCTCTGACAGGCGTCTGAAAGAAGTCTCTTTTCTTTACGCATGCGATCAGTTAAGTCGTTGCATTCACAGTTTTTAAAATAAGGTGTTAAAATGAATTATAGTACTCGTAATGTGAGGAGTTTGCTAACGACGTTCTCTCTAGTCAAGAGCATCATAGGTCTTTCTAGTAGAGTTCAGGAGCATTCTTTACAGTCCTGAGGGACTATTGTTTTAGTTTTGCAATTTTGCGTCGAAATCACTCTGAGTGTCCGTTTCACTTTTCAAACTGTTGCCAGCTAATAATATCGCCATGTATTGTATTTGAAAAAATTAAATAATGAAGAATCTGCATAAATGTATGCATGTTTCTCGCTCTGTGATAAAACAGAGCCATCCAATTTTAAATGACGTAAACCTACTGCGAATATGGGCATCTGAAATTTGGAATTTGTTTTATGATCGATTTCATATTTTGTAAAACTTT